GCTAAAGATTCTAAATCTGCATTCCAGCTCTGACCTTTCTCTTGCTTTTGTTTTTCAGTCCCAGTCCCTTGCTTTCCATTTAGTAAAACTTTAACTTGTTGAATAAATATACATCTTCTCTAACATGCTGCTGCCTGCTTTCAGCTTCATTTCTGTCATTCTGTCAGTGGTACAATTTGCTAACCCTCAGGTTTATAGTCTTGAAGTTGTCCTTAACCAGTATCTCTTCCCCATATTGTTTAAGTGAAGAATTACCATCATTTCTTTCTCCAGGATGCTCAGCCTTCATTCTTATCAATTCACTTCTAGATTCCTTAAACAGTCTCCTAGTCTCTAACTGTTCCATTTTAGGTCTCTAATATAGGGGTTGGCGAACTACAGCCCAATCATTAAATGTAATTTTGTGACATTCCTGTGTACATAAATAAAATTTTGCTGGGACACATCCAAGCTCATTTGTGTGTTGTCGGTGGCTGCTTTGTGCTACAGCGCAGAATTGAGTCTTTGGACAGAAACCAAATGGCCTTTGAAGCCTAAATTGTTTCCTATCAGAAAAAGGTTTACCGGGCCTCCCCGGTGGCGCAGCGGTTGAGCGCTGGGTTGCAAAGCTGCCGGCGACCTCTGCGGCGCCGGTTCGATCCCCGGCTGCTCCCCGGCCACCGGAGGAGGGTCCCACATGGCGCGCAGACCTCTCCTGCCGCCCGCTGCTCCCCTCAGCAGTGTACTTCGGTCCTTCTGCCTGCTCTGCTCCCTGCTCTGGCTCTGGTGAATTCTCTCACCCTCCCGCGCTTCTGACTGTACCCAGTGCATGTATAAACAAAAACGAACGAACAAACAAATAAATAAATAAAAACATGCCTCTGTTAAAAAAAAAAAAAAAAAGAAAATGGTTTACCAAAAAAAGGCTGACTGACCCTTGTTGTAAGAGTTTCCTTAACTTGGTTTTCAAAATCCTTTGTCAACTCTTGGTGCCCCAGTATGTGAGCCCCTCTGCTCTGACCTCTCACATGTATCCAGTTAATTTCTGTACTTTGTTTTTCCTGTTGTGTCCTCTTTTCCACCCTATTGGTTTATCCTATACATTGTTCAAGACTGAACTAGAGGTTTTTCTTCTGTAAGACCCCTATTTCATATACTTTCATTCTATGGATCTTTAATGTGGACATTTTAGGCACTTGTGTGTATTTTGCGTTGTTCTTTAGACATTCCATTCTCACATCCACTGTAAGCTCCTAGTAGGGACTTTGTCTGCCCCTTGTTTGAGTACTTACAGGTGGCAGTTCACTTTGGTGACTAATCCTGTAGCATGGCCTTGCATATCGAGAATTTTTAGAAACACCTCTTTCTGTTTAGACGTGCCCACCTTCTCTAATGGGGGTACAGGTACCAAATGAAATTAATGTTTTTGTTATGTTTTTAATCACTTACTCAGCATTTAAGATGTTATCTGGTTAGTATCTATAACGTGAACTATTTCTTTATTACCTACAAACCCCAGTTTCTTTGCTTGTCCTTTTATTTCATTGTCTTTAGGTTTTCATGGGCAAGTACAGCAGGAGACAGGGAAATAATTTCAGCAATAAGGTCCCTAGAAACCAAAAAAAAAGAGAGAATTATTTGAATACCCGCTGTGCTACACTGCACTGTACCAGGTTTTTATAGACAGGTTAATTCAAGAAAACACCTGTTTGTTGCTCCAAATGTGACGTGCTACAATGGACTTAATATGGTAATACAACAAAGTAGAAAAGCAGAAAGAGGGCCTCCCCGGTGGCGCAGCGGTTGAGCGCTGGGTTGCGAAGCTGCCCGCGGCCTCTGCGGCGCCGGTTCGATCCCCGGCTGCTCCCCGGCCACCGGCGGAGGATCCCACATGGCGCGCAGACCTCTCCTGCCGCCCGCTGCTCCCCTCAGCAGTGTGCTTCGGTCCTTCTGCCTGCTCTGCTCCCCGCTCTGGCTCTGGTGAATTCTCTCACCTTCCCGCGCTTCTGACTGTACCCAGTGCATGTATAAACAAAACAAGCAAACAAACAAAATAAATAAATAAAACATGCCTCTATAAAAAAAAAAAAAAAAAAAAAAAAAAGCAGAAAGAAATTGAGGAACAAAGTGAACTCACATTAGGAAAATACATTTGGCATTAAAAACTAGCGGAGTTAAATATTATCCTTAGGCTACAGCCAGGTCATGATACTAAGTAAATTGCAAATACTCTTCTCAATTACCTTTCTAATTTGCATTATAGAAGCTTTTATACCTATAAATATATCCTTGTAGACTTGAATTTATTGTTTATTAGAAATTTAAAATTATATTTAGTGGAATAATCCCCCAAATTCCATTTCAAGGCATTGCATTTTTTCAAGATTAGGAAATCAGGGGGAGTGTCCAGGGTGAAACAAAAGGTTTCAGGAATAATCACAGTTATCATTCAGTTTCTGTTTGTGCAGCACCTGAGGGTGTGCTGACACTTTGTGGGTGCCTAACACATAGGATGAATAGTCTTCGCAAAAATACTCAGAGAAGACAGAGGTGAGAACACTGGGGCTAAGAAAGATGAATAATTTGCCCATGTTCACATAACTCTGAAGTGGTGCAGCAGGATGAGAACCCCATTTAAAAATTTTTTTTATTTTTATTTATTCATGCATACAAGAACTGGGGTGTAGGCCAGAGGTGCAGTGGGTGAGAGAATTCTCCAGAGACAGAGTGGGGAACAGAACAGGCAGATTGACCAAAGTACACCGCTGAGGGGAGCAGTGGGCAAAACAGGAGAGGTCTGCTGTGCCATGTGGGTTAGCTCCCTGGCCCTGGCCAGGATTGAACTCATGCTGCAGTGGCTGGCAGTAGCTTGATAACACTTACACTTTAACCCCTGTGCCACCAGGGAGGCCCGAGAACCCCATTTTTTTTGAGAACCCCATTTTTTAAAAACTTGGTCCAGTGCGGTTTTGGACAGATGACCTAGGAAAGATTCTTGAAAGAGGGAGTGGGCTTGGGCCTCCCTGGTGGCGCAAGGTGTTGAGACGAAGCCTATGAAGCTGTCCGCAGCCTCTGCAACACTAGTTCGATCCCCTGGCGGGAGCAACGCACATAGCACAGCAGACCTTTCCTTACTCGCCCACTGCTGCCCTCAGCTGTGTACTTTGGTCAATCTGCATGTTCTGTTCCCCACTCTGTCTCTGCTGAATCCTCTCACCGCCCCCCCCCCCGCACCTCTGGCCTGTACCCCAGCTCTTGTATGCATAAATAAATAAATCTTTTTAAAAAATGAGGGAGTGGCCTTGAGACAGACCCAACACTGGCAGGGGTAAAGGCCTCTTGTAAGGAAGAGTCAGTGTATATGACAGGAATGTAGCCCTTGTTAATTGGGCACCAGAAAGGGTCTCCCACCCGAGAACCAGCCTGATGAATCTTAATTTCTAATTTTACAAATACTAAACTCAGCCAGCAAGCATTTGTATGTTGTCATCTACATAACTTTCTTTTCCCCACAACATCCCTGTTTCAGATTAAACTTCTGGCATGATGTTGTTTAAAAAAATTAAAAGCCCTGCAGGAGCATATAAGCCCTTATTTAGGAAGGAAAAGAATATTTAAATGATTCATTCATAAATTGACATAGGAATTGCTTAGTGCTTTCCTTTAACCTTTAGTTTTAATTTGGCTTTAACCTTTAGTTTGAGGTTTAGCTGTGCCTTCCAGTGACTCTAATGGCAGAGAAACTGTAAATGGATTTGAGTTAAGTTCTTGCAAGAAGTGAATATCTGGCACAGAAAAGCGTTTCTTCTATATAAAGGGTGGAAAGAGCAAATTAAAGACTATTCTTTAATAACCAAATGTAATTAAAATGCATTGTCAGATTCATGTTTCAGTACCTCAGAGGCATTGATGATGCCTGTTTCTGAAATGAGATTGCTGATTCAAAAAAAGGAAAAAAAAAACAAACCCCTACCTCAAATCTCAATATATAGAAAATTCTCCTAACCTCCTCCTTTTTTAATTGTGATGTTATGATATAATTTACAGGATAAAACAAATATTTCGCTTGAGAAAATTGTAAACATACTTGAGATTTTGTCACTTATAGAGCTTCAGGCAGAAGGATTCTTTTTTTTTATAATCAAGTATCATTTAGAAAATGACAAGAAGTTCCTTGGCTTGTTCTCAGTGATACAAACCCACCCTCCCACACTTTTTCTTCACTCCTGAAGTAGTTTAGTTACTTAACTACACTGATTCAAAAGAGAAGCAATTTGGTTCATCATTGATATTCTGGTTTCTCCTTTTATGGGGGCTGGCCTGGGGGACAAAGTGGCAGCACTTAGGTATTTTGACATTCCTGTTGAGCTTTGGCTTCTCCCTTAGGGTAGCTGAGAAGCGGCGATGAGGGACTCCAGAGGTGATTTCTCTGGGCTGCTGGCTGAAGGATTCCAAGCAGCCAATTCCCTTGGCAGAGAGGGAGACCTAGGGATAGAACAGTGAGAGCAAGAGGGCTGTGCAGTCCTGGGTTCCCGCAGCTCAGTTCTCTGATCAGCTTTTCATTTCATTTCCCGACCCAGCCCCAGCCATTAATGATGTAATAGCGAGAGGTTGGTGCTACGGGGCGGGCTCTAGTGAACAGCATGGCCTTATTTAGGAGTCTCACTCTGAATCTATCTGTATGAAAATTATAGGGAGGGTGGAATCATGATTCTTTATATCAACAAAAAATGGTATCAGTTAAAAAAAACACACTAGATTGAAAGTAGCAATAACTGAAATCTGCTGCCTTCCTCTGACCTTGAAAAAGATATATAATTTCTCTCCCTGTCTCCTCTCTGGACCTGAGGTAATATGTGTTTCCTGTAGCTGTTGTGTCTGAGATAACCTAGTGAAGTGAAGTGCTCTGAATTCCTCAAGGAAGCATGTCAAAGCAGTAAACTGCCATACCATTATTACAGCAAAGATAGTGAGGAGAAGTCAAATCTACATTTTCTTCCTTAACCATCTAATCCTTCCAGATGCCGGTGGGTATTTTGGAGTCCCCTCTCTCTTCCTTAGGTTGCCGTGGGGGGTTCCATGCTGGGGTACAGGAAGACTGCCTTCAAACCCCTGAAACTGTCTTCATCAGGAAGGCCTTTTTAGGCACCCCCTTTTCAGTAAGGGGTGAACGTGACCCCCATCGTGCGGTGCTGGGGAACACAAGATCTGCAGGCTGAGGAGAGGCAGCCATGGACTGTGTGCCCCTTCAAGACTTGCCTGCTCCTTCACAGAACCCACTGCCTGGTGCCCAGGCTCCTCGGGCCACCCTCCATGAGAAGGGAGAGTGAATGCAGAGAGGCCAGTGCTTCTACCAAGCTTGTGGAGCCCAGTCCACCCGGGACACACCTCTTGGAGCAGTCGGGCAGGGTGAGCCTGGTGGCTACTGCTCGGGTCAGCCATGTCCTTCAGCGCCACTATTCTCTTCTCCCCACCCGGCGGCAGCGAGGCCAGATGCTGCTGCTGTGCCTGTAAGAGCGAGACCAGCGCGGGCAGCACCAGCTCGCAGGGCGGGAACCCTCCTGCCAGCACCCCTATCACGGTGACCGGACACGGCCTGGCAGTTCAGAGCTCAGAGCAGCTCTTGCATATTATCTACCAGCGCGTGGACAAGGCGGTGGGTCTGGCCGAGGCTGCTCTGGGTCTCGCCAGGGCCAACAACGAATTGTTAAAACGTCTCCAGGAGGAGGTGGGGGAGCTGAGGCAAGGGAAAGTGCCCGCCCCTGAGGAAGAGGGGGACAGCCCGGCACATGGTTCCCCTCCTGAGGAGCAGGGGCCCTTCAAGGAGAGCCCCGGGGAAGCCTGCAAGACTGTGACTGCCGCGGAGGAGTGTGACATGGCGGGCAGCGGCGTGCAGGTGGTGATGGAGGAGCTGCCGCAGCTGGGGGCAGCCTCGGCCGGGGGGCCTGGGCCTTTGGGCTTCCCTGGCACCCAGAGGGACCTGCGGCTCCCAGGATGCTCCCTGGCTGCCAGTGAGGGGCCCCCAATCCTCAATCCTGTGAGTATGGCACTGGCAGAACACCGGTGTTACAGCTCCCTGTGCTTTTCCTGGCCGTGCTCTCTTCTTTCTCTTCTGTTTTCTTACCAACCTTAACTTTCTTTTGGTTGCATTTGTGAGAAATCAGAATGGTACCAAGTTTCCTTGGCCTTCAGGAGAGCCGGCACTCGTGTTTTCTTGCTGAATCCTCTGCCTCTTTGGCAGGAAGTCCTTTCTGGTGCGTGCGCGTGTGTGTGTGTGTGTGTGTGTGTGTGTGTGTGTGTGTGTGTGTGTGTGTTGCCGGGGCGCCCTGCCCTCCTCCTCCATAGCTCTGCATGGCACCTTCTCCTCCACAGCTGGCGCAGCTGCTCCATGGGCTCTGCCTCTCCTGGCGAGAATGCCTGCGGTGCACAGACGGCTCATTCATATTTTATCACGGGCCCTCTGCTTGGCGTGCTTGGCGAGAGGAATTCGGTACAGAGGGATGGGGATGGAGAGGAGAGAGAGACAGAGGAGAGAAGGAGAGAGAAAAGGAAGAGGGAGAGGGAGAAGACAAAGATAATACACAGTGTTATGGGTAGGGACGGAGGCATGTAGAAGGGGAAGGTTGAGGAAGAAGAAAAAGTGAGAAAAAGAGCCTAGAAAAAAGGTGAATCTAAATGGAAAAAGAATTTGTGGTTTCTCCCTGGTGGCGCAAGGGGTTAAGTGTCAGCACTATGAAGCTATCCGCAGCCACTGCCGCTTGAGGTCCATCTCTGGTCAGGGAGGTGACCCACATGGCGCAGCAGACCTCTCCTGTCTCTCCCACTGCTCCCCTCAGCAGTGTATTTCAGTAGATCCACCTGTTCTGCTCCCCACTCTGTCTCTGGTGAATCCTCTCACCCCCTGCACCTCTGGCCTGCACCCCAGCTCTTGTATGCATAAACAAATCTTTTTTAAAAAAAAAAGAATTTGTGCAAGAGAGAGAAAGGGAATGTGAAGTAAGGGGGGACGGAGAGGACAGGAAAGGAAATGAGGAAAAGGAATGGACAATTGAGAGTCAGTAGTAAGAATTATGTGAAGGGAGAAAGGGGGAGGCAGACAAGCAGATTTTGTGAGCAGGAAAAGACATAGATGTGCATAGTCTGTTTCAGTTTCTTTACTGCTCAGGGCCATATGAACAGGAAAATCCAGGCCGAGTAGAGTAAAAACTGCAGAATGTCACACATGGAAGTATGGAAAGGAGATGGAGCAACTATCGAGATCATACAGATGGGAAAATAACAGATGTGTTGTCACTTGAGAGACAGTGGGAGGTCTGTCAACTCTCCCTCTGCCCCTCTCTTTTCTTACTCTCTGAACTCCCAGGCACAGACACCCAGTAAAGAGTAAAGGAGCAGAATATCCAGGGTAGATGGGGGCATGGAACTCCCAGCCTAGCTGCTGGATCTGAGAGAAGAATCTGTCCAGTCCCCAGGACCCCTCCAGATCCACTGGTCACTGCTCTCTGAGGGCCAGGCCCTGTGGGTGATGCTGCTGCTGCTCCCTTCAGCCTGTGCCAGCCGGACCATGGGTGCTGGAGGAGGAGCTGAGAAGGCGGGAGGACACAGGAGGGTACCAGGCCAGGCGGTGCCCTGAGTTGTGGTTCTTGCAGGCAGGGAAGGCTTCCAAGCCGTCAGGATGGAATTAGATTTCACAGCGCAGAAAGCAGCTCACAGGTCTATAAATCTCAGCCTCCTCCCCCGCTCCTTTCTGTGTTGTTCCCCCCACCACCACTTTCACTGTTTTGTTTTCTTGGCTGCAGAAATCCCCCCTCCTTTTTCTTCTTCTCTGTCTCTCCCTTCCTCCCTCCTTCCATTTCCTGCCCTGTATGTCCTTGAGTGAGGGCACAGGCAGGCAAGTAGATGTCAGTGCAGTGACAGGCACATGTGGCAGGATGGGATCACGTTGAGGACACACACTGGCCCCAAAAGGGAATGGGCAGGGGGGCAGTCCGTGCCAGTCTCTAGAGATTTCTGACTTCACATCTCCCTCCTTTGCTTCCATTTTTCTCCTGTTTCTCCTCTTTACTGCTATTTTCTTGCTCCTTCTCTTGCTTGGTTCTCATCACTTTCTCCCCCAATCCTTTTAGACAAAACACTTACCTGGCTACATCTCTTATACCCAAAAGTAAAATGTAAATGGCTCCTTACAGAGCAAGGGACACAGGCCCTGTCCTTGTAACCAGTCCTATGGTAACGGCCCAGCGTGAGTGGCCTTGTACACAACTAATCTTTGCCGGCACTCCCATTGGAGTCCCCGAGAGAGAAGCCATCCACTTGGGACTGTGCTAGAGCCCTCTGCTTCCCTCTCTGTTCACTATCCTTCACCAAAGAATGAAGGTTGACCAGGTTCCCCTAACCTGGCTGGCTAATAGGCTATTCTTTTTTTTTTTTATGTTCTTAGCTGGTGGATGATTATGTGGCCTCTGAGGGTGCAGTACAGCGAGTGCTGGTCCCTGCTTACGCCAGGCAGCTCTCACCAGCCACACAACTGGCCATCCAGTGGGCAACCTCAGAGACAGGGCCAGAAAATGGAACCAAGCTGCCACCGCCCAGGCCTGAGGATATGCTCAGTGCTGCTGCTGCTCTGGATGGTGCCTTGGAAGAGTCAAGCCCTGGGGGAACTGGGGAGCTGAGACACTCTCTAGGATTTACGGCTTCCCCGTGCAGGACCAGAGGGACTGGGCAGAAGAACTCCAGGCGCAAGCGGGATCTGGTACTTTCTGTAAGTGAGCTCAGTTTTATAAATTTTTCTTCAGTCTGGAGAGAAAAGTGAAGAGGGAAGTGTGGGTTGATTTTAAACCACTCTCTTGAATGAATGGTACCTTGAATCCTTCTGGAGTGGGAAAGGTACAGAGAGACAAATTGTTCCATAGTCTTAGGGATAGGTATCTCCCTGCTGTCAGTGGAATGTTTTTCGGCTCTTCCAGATAGATTGATATCTTCCTTTGAACAAGAAAGAAATTATATTACATCTCCCCGTGGTCTAATAATCCTGATGAGAAAATCTTCAAGGGGTTGAGTAGACTGACCACTGAAGGGTATGGCTGGAAGTTGCCTGTGAGTTCTGCCTGCAGGTTAGCTGCTGTGCAGGATAAGCAACAGGGGGCCCCTTGGGCAAAAAAGCCAAGCTGTCCTGAGGTTGTCTCAACTCCCAAAGATGCAGAGGGCCACGAGACACTCGGCTCAGTTTTAAAGATTTAGAGATTCTAACCATCCAAGAGCTCTTGGCAGGGAAAGTACTGACCTAAACCAGTTCTTCCTGAAATCTTGGAATGGCTTAGAGTCCTAGAGACATTGCTAAACACCCTACAGTGCATGGGATGGCCCCACAAAACATCCAGCTTAAAATGTCAGTAGTATGAGGTTGAGAAACCCTCTTCTAGAGTGATCTTTAGTCCCTCAGATCAATTCTGTGTCCCAGAGCATCTCTGTGATATTCATAGGGGTGTTCTTTGGCCATAGAATATTCATATTGTCTGTAGTAGGGTTTCCATTCTCTGGATAATGGCTGATATGAACTTGAGAGTCCATCCAACCTAAATCTCATTATATAATATAGCCCATTTCTTGTTACAATCTTAGTAAAGATTGAGAACAGTTGATTACCATTTATACCTCCTTATTTAGATTATTGATGTCTTCCTTTTCCTTTTTTTAAGAGCCCTTACTCTTACTGTCCCTTTTTTATTTTTCATTGAGGGATCCCCCCACCCCCAGCAGGGGAGGAAGATACTGTTTGTAATTAGTACCAACTTTTTCTTTTTTTTTTTTTTTGAGATTTATTTATGTATGCATACAAGAACTGGGGTACAGGCCAGAGGTGTGGGAGGATGAGAGGATTCACCAGAGACAGAGTGGGAAGCAGAACAGGCAGATCCACTGAAATACACTGCTGAGGGGAGCAGCAGGCAAGACAGAAGAGGTCTGCTGCATGGGGATCCAACTTGTGCTGCAGTGGATTGCTTCATAGTGCTGAGACTTAACCCCTTGTGCCACCAGGGAGGCCCTAGCACCAACTTGTTTCTAACCTTCATTTCAAATTTTGAATATATTCAGGGAGAGTTTCCTTAACAAGACTAGGGGATGGGGTTAGTTTCTGTGTTGTGAATTTCTAACTCAGTCCATCCATTCTTGCTGTCGGTGATACAAATGGCAGCATAGTCCTAGAAATACATTTCAAGGGATTTCCCAAAACTTTACAGTGTTTAAATCATAAATAAATATGTGATAATCATAATTTGCATTAAGTCAGGATTTCCAGTCACTTCCATTCCTCTCCCTGCTACTATCTATAGCAAAAGGTCTGCCTCCTTGCTGCTCTTTGGAGAGCTCAGTGGACCTGGGAACCTCTGGGAGGACATCGTCATGCTTCCAGTACAGTACTGGGAAAGGAGCCCCTGGATCAGCAGGGAATTTTGCTGCCCATCGCGGAGGAAGGTTTAGAATGTCCTTCTGCCAGCCTTGGGTATAGAGGAGAGTTGCAACTCTTCACCAGCCCAACCTTTAACTCTGAGGAGGAATGAGGGAGGCATCTCTCCAATTTACTGAGGCTGCCATGGAGTGCTGCTTGGAATCCAAAAGGGCCAACCCAGAACTCTTAACTCCTTGGAATGCTGCCCATCCCAGCCACCCATTGGGGAAATGTATTTATTTTTAGCTCGCTCAGGCGGTAGGTGAGCCAGCAGTCTTTACAGTCTTAACACTTATTATTGTCTAGAGTATTTTCCCTTTCCACTTCAAGCCTGGTTTGATTTTTATCAGCTGATCTCTTCTAAGCCACTTGAATTGAAAGTATGCAACACCCCCACCCTTTTTTCTTTTTTTATAACTCCAATTCTTTCTGAAGCAGTCATCCCATCTGTTATGATTTCTTAATTTTGGACTTTTCAGAGGTAAAATAAGCTATTCCAATATCAGTCCTTTCTATAGACTGGAGACCCTCTCCATAAAGAATTCATAACACTTTGCTTGTTTGATAGGGTCAGTCAGACATGGAGGTAGAAGTGCAAATGTGGGAATTTTCAAATATTAAGCTGAAGTCCTGAGATTAGAATACGAGTCCATCAACTTGGGACAGTGTGTCTTCCAGGGATTGAAGGAGCTTGAGAGGAAAATATAATCAGAAACAACAAAAGTAAACTTAATAGAAAGACAAGTAAAAACCTACCTTAAAGTTTAAAGAATCAGTGGCAGAATGGTGGAGATAGCCATCCATGTGAACCTGAGCTTGAGCTAACTCCCTGCTTCCTCTGAAAGAGCCCTGTGACACTGCGAACAGGGACAGGGTTGTTCAGGAAGGTAACACCATCTCAGGTTTCATCCCTGGAAGGTGGACTTCCTCTCAGGGACATAATGCTCCCTTTGGCCAGACCCCAACTGATGAGTCAGATTTATTTCCAGCTGCCTTTTGCCATGAGGAATGCCCGAAGGACTTGTGGGGTATTTGGACAAGAGAAGAAAAGACTTGGGGAGTATACAAAAACTGTCTTCAGTATTTCAGGTGCTGTAATAGGCAAAGTGAGCCACATTTTGGAGCGTCTCAGGCAAATCTGACAGAGATGTTCAATAGAATGAGCTGACTGAAAAAGTAGAATGAGCCCACCGATGAAGGTGTGTAAGCAAAGCTAAAAGACAGTCTATTTAACGATGTGAGAGGGAAGGTGGCAGAGTCTCCAAGGTCCTTTCCATTTCGCATTTCCGTTACTTTAGGTTTGTGCTTTTCAGGCCATGGCAAGTGTGCCCCTGGGGTCTGTGGTAATATGCAAAGGGGTATGCAAAGCCATCTACTAACCGAGGCCAATTTCCTCAGTCATGGTTTTTACTAGACAATTTTAGAAGACATTTTTATATTAAAGGAAATACAGATATGTTGTAAAGAAAATTTAAAATTTGCAAAAGTAGGGGCTTCGAGCAATATCCACTGCAGTAACCCTGATGTGTGTTCGTTCTGCCTTTAGGAGTACTGCTATTAGGAGTATGTTGATGGGAATGTTGGAGACCCTCTAGTGATCCCATTACTTACAACAAGTAAGACCAGAGATGATCCTGGAGTTTTGACACAAACTGAAAGAGGGGAGGGCGGATTTCATTAGAAACACTAATTCGGAAAATCTTTCCGGCTAGGAAAGATCACTCACAGGAGTATTTCCCAGACAATGAAGGATTCAGGCCGAGAACCCTGTAGGATCAATGTCTAGAGGCCAGAGGAGGGTTTCATCATATCCACTCCTCGCTTGATTCTGTGTTTGTTTTTTTCCCCCTAGAAATTGGTCCACAATGTGCATAACCACATCACCAATGACAAGAGGTTCAATGGGTCTGAAAGGTATGATTCTCTTGAGGGAAAAGAATCACAAGGTACTTTGCCAAGGAGAGGGAGTTAAAGGGGCTGCTCCAGGATAACACGAGGCTAAGACTTTGATCTCACTGTTGCCCCTTGTATCTTGTTGCCGGCCATGGAGGAATCTCCCACAAAGTTCATTAGTGCTGAGAATCTGTTTGTCTGGCTCTTCAAAAGCTGACTGCCTTATTATAATCACTCTCTTTGTGACAGCATCAAGTCATCTTGGAATATTTCAGTAGTGAAGTTCCTTCTGGAAAAGCTCAAGCAGGAGCTGGTGACCAGTCCCCACAATTACACTGATAAGGAGCTGAAAGGTGAGAAAAACTGAGCTAACTCTACTTTATCCTTTTTCCATTCCCTGTTCTTGGTCAGAGGAGAAAAAGGCATAATGGAGATGATTTAGGTGGTTTTGAAAATAGTGGACTTTAAAAAAAAAATCTTCTGACTGTTCTTTTCACCTACAATATTTACAGAATTATCTCTAATTGCCTTTTTATTCCCCCACTCACTCTGGAATAAAAGAGGAAAGAGGAAAAGGCCTGAATCCAGGGTGTTAGGGAAAGGAGGTCAGAATCCAGGCCTGCCCTTTTGTCCCTAAGTATTACATCCTGCCTTTCTACCTTCCTTGCTCTTCTTTTATTTGTCTGTAGCTAACCCTGAAGCATTAAGAAAGCTTCTGCTAAAAAAGTACTTGTAATCCACTATCAGAATAGGAGTAGGTTTAAGTGGGAGTAATTTACAGTAGCAACCAGGGTTGTCTTTTTCTAGTAGAAGGAGATATGAAGGAGTTGTTGTTGGAGATGGAGGTGTGCAAAGATTGCTACACCAAAGAGGAGTAAATAGATGCTGTTGGTGATCAGTACCCCCAAAAGCCCCTCATCTAAATAGTGACACTCACCCTCCCAACCAATAGCATGAGGGCAGAAGAAATGGGCTCTGGAGGACCCTGCTTTCTGCTCCCTCCCCACAGGAGCATGTGTAGCCTATTTCCTTACTAAGAGGCGTGAGTACCGCAACTCCCTGAACCCTTTTAAAGGCCTGAAGGAAAAAGAGGAGAAGAAACTTCGAAGTCGCAGATACCGGGTAGGTTTCAAGGCCGACTTTTTTTTTTTTAAATACAAGAACCGGGGTACAGACCAGGTGTGCGGGAGGGTGAGAGGATTCACCAGAGACAGAGTGGGGAACAGAACAGGCAGACTGACCGAAATACACTGCTGAGGCGAGCAGCGGGCGAGAAGGAGAGGTCTACTGCTCCATGTGGGTTGCTTTGCGGCCGGCGGGATCTAACCAGCACTGCAGAGGCTGCGGACAGCTTCTTCGTAGCACTGCGCTCAACCGCCTGCGCCACCAGGGAGGCCCTCAAGGCCATCTTTTATCCCTAATAAACCACAGTGGAAAGCGCCACACACATGGCAGCTGAGGGTTAGGAGCCAAGAATGTGAGCAGATAAAGGAGGAGGAGGGAGAGCCTGTTCTCAGACTTCACTTGGGGACTGGGTTCTCTCAGGCACAGATATCACTGTCTCTGCCCCACTCAGATCCTTTCCCTAAACTTAATCTATAGTTCGTTGCTCATCCTAATCTTCATCTTGGGCTCCTACCTCAGCTTTTTGCCAATCGGTCCAGTATCATGAGGCATTTTGGACCTGAGGACCAGCGCCTGTGGAAGGATGTGACAGAAGAGCTGATGTCAGACGAAGAGGACAGTCTCAATGAGCCAGGTGTCTGGGTGGCCCGGCCTCCCCGGTTCCGGGCCCAGCGCCTCACTGAGCTCTGCTACCACCTGGATGCCAACTCAAAGCATGGCACTAAAGCCAACCGTGTGTATGGGCCTCCTTCAGACCGATTACCTTCAGCTGAGGCCCAGCTTCTCCCACCAGAACTTTACAATCCTAATTTTCAAGAAGAGGAAGATAAGGGAGGGGATGAGAATGGACCTGTCTCCCCCTCTTTTGACCAACCCCACAAAACCTGCTGCCTTGACTTGAACTCATTCATAGAAATCAAGGTGGAAAAGGATGAGTGAAATCTATAACCTAGACCGAGTCCTGCCGCTCGTCTTGTCTCAGCAGTGGGACTCCCCAGAATAACGGATGTCCTGTACAATCTGAGAAAGCAAACCTGCCTCTCTTCTTAACACAGGCCCCACTGGAAGGGGAAGCTGGCCGCTCTGGTGGGATTAAAAAAAGAAGGGACACATCTAGAAGCGAGAAAATTCCCCCCACTGTGAATGACAAGACAGACAATGCTTATTCCTAAGCATAAACAGTGCCTCAGAGGAATCTGGGATGAGAAAAGGAGGATGGGTCTAAGAAACATGAGGCCTTCTTAACATGTGCCCTGGTCTCTGAGTTGTTTTTCCCCATTTCCCTCAAAGCCCTGGGGAAGCAGCTGTGTTGTACCTCTGCTTCCCCAGCACTGCTGGTCTTGCTCTGCAGTGGAAGCAGCACTGAAGCAGTCCAGGGTAACACTGCCACCTGGTGGGCAGCTTTGGCCATGGGCTGAGTCTTCTGAGTAAGGCACTGTTTGGGAATTGAGATCTAGTTATAATAGCTATTGTTTATTGAATTATATAAAGCAGATTTTATTATTCCCATCTTACACATGAGGAGATTAAGGCTTAAAGTGTTCCCACATCTCACCTGCAGGTGCTCTCCCACCATGGGACTAAGCAGTATAGATAGGGCTTTGTAGCTATTTCTTAGTCCTGTCAGCCACGCTGTATTTTGATGAAGGTGTGTGTGCACACGCACATATAGGCACGCACACACTCACGCAAAATATGTGCATTTTGTATGGACAAAATATATTGACTGTCTACTAGGTATGAGGTATTGTGCTAGGTGCTATGGATATACTGTTCGCCAGTTAGTGACCAGAGGCTTTATTGTCCAGTCAGGAATCCAGGCAGTTAAATAGGCAATGAAATGAACTGTGATTAGGGTGATGGCAGGGGAGCATGGGGTGCATTGGCAGCGTACAGCATGGAGAGCTAGCCTACTCTGGCAGTCTGGGAAAGTTGCTTAGAGCTGTGTTCAGACTGATACCTGACAGCTGGGGAGGAGTTAACCACAAAGGAAGGGGAAGCCAGGAGCCAGAAGAATGTTCCAGACACAGGCAACAGAAAGCACAAAAGTCCAGAGGCAAGAGAACACACAGACAAGGTGAAATTTCACTGCAGAACAATTTGGGGAGGGGAAGATGCTGAGAAAAGCTGGAGAGGTATAGAGACCTTATAAAATAAATAGTACAGACTTTATAGTTCAAGGGCAATGAGAAATCATTGAAAAGTTTGAAACAGGGAAACCATATGATCAGCTTTGTGTTTTAGAAGCATTACTTGACCTCAAATGTAAGATGGGCTGGAGGAATAAAGTCTTGGCGGGGAGACTTTTGCAGTGGTTCAGAGAGAAAAGCTGCCATATACAATGGAGATGAGGAGAGGGCAGATTTGAAAAATATTTAGGAAGACTTGATGGGACTTGGTTGGATCTGAGGTTCGGGAAGAGGACATAAAGTTTTTGGCTTAAGCAGCTAAGTGGTGCCATTTACTCAAGGAATACTGGAGGAGCCAGTTTCGGGAGGTAGGGGAGATGAAATCAGGTTAGGGTGTTTTATATCTCAGACAACCACGTGGACATGTTAGTTGTCAGTTGAGTTTTTAAGTCTAAGAAAATCTGGGCTAGAGATATGTATTTGGGAGTCATCTGTGTATATAGGTGGTAATTAAATCATGGTGATGGAGGTTAGGGCCCATGGGCTCCTGGCTCCAGTTCAGACTATGGAATGGTATGAGCACTACTGGTGCATGCCCCATCTTTGCACCTTTCTGCTCACTTGTCTCTGCTTCTTTAGCCCTGAAAACAGGTCATTCATCCCAACTGTGCTCACTGCTGCCACCACCAACTTCTGGACTGGGCTTCTCAGTTTTTCATAAGTTATTCCCATCCTCACCCCAGAGGAGCAACACTTCCAAATATTAGAAGCTGGGTGGATAGGTCAGATGTAAGTAATTAAAAGGAAGAATCCATGTTCTCTTTTTCCACCAGGAGGCAGGAAAGGAGGGAGAGCTTTATAGTTAATGGAGGCTTACAGCAGGTTCTGGATGTGACTTGACAGACAGTTCCCCTTCCTAGGAATGCCCTCAGTTCTCCTGCTACCTATTTTGACAGTAAAGGCTCCTTTGGGTGAAAGAAAAGCTATGAATCTGAAGGGGGAAACAGAGAGGCTGATTCTCTGGAGAGATGAGATCAGGGAGACAGTGCAGCTAGGACAAAGCAGCCAAATGGTTTGTGCTAAATTAATTTCCCCAAATATATTAGTCACCTTTCCTATCCCATCTCTTAAGGCTACACTAAGATTGTAAAAGGTGTTCAAAATGTTGAGATGAAAATAATATGCACGATTTGTTTGCATATAATTCTCATACTCATTTACTATCTAAATACAAAGGAGTCGTTTTCTTTCTCCAGTTTTCTTCCCCTGACTCTTGCTAGCCTGGGCAAACTGCTAGCCTGGGCAAAGTCAGCTGGCTGGCATTTAATGAGATACGTTCAGCCTCAGCCATGGCTCCTTTTATTTATTTTTTTATCTTTCTAGTATAGTCCATATTAACCACTTTTCCTTTTCCACTCTGATTGTTTTGACTTGCCATTGTCTCCAAACAACATTTCCTCCTCTTCCTTCCTCTTAATACTTACTCTTCCTTGCCATTCTCCTTTGCGCCAAACCAAGGCGGGTAGAGGCTTTCGCTAGACCTAAAACCTGGTCTATACCCAGAGCCACCTGAAATACTTGCTAAAAATCTCATTTCCCAACACCAGGGGGTGTTTGTCCACCCCTCTATCTGCCCTACCCTGAACGCAGAGCTGGGGCTCAAACCTTTTCCTCCCTCTTTTCCATAGACATCAACGCTCCCTCCCGGCACAGAGCTTTGGGTTGAGAAAGTGGTGGCTCTTTACTGCAGTTTATCTGTTTGCCTCTCATTCTCTAATTATTTTTTCTTATCCCGGTCATCCTTCGGTCCCCCCACCCCATCCCCTTAGCTCTGGCCCTCCCTTTCTATCACTCAGTCCCCACCTCCTCTCTACGAGGGCTCTCTCGCCGTTCTGGGCTCTTCACCGAGCGCCTCTTAACCTCTGCATGCATCTACCTTTCTCCCCCCTCCCCGCATGCCCCTTCCCAGCCAGCCTCTGCAGCACCCCCACTGCTCCCCGAACTAGGAACAAAGTCCCGGTGTTTGCGCAGAGCCAGCCTCGCGCCTCCCGATCTGAGGCCGGCATTCCACAGTGCCCCTCCGCGCATTCCAGCTGCAAACAAAGAGTTCCCGCCCCCCACCCCCACTTTTTCCCGTTCCAATTCTCGAGCGATGCCGCGGCCGCTGCCCAACCTGCCCCTCGCCCGCCTCTCCCGGCCGCGGCCGCTCTCCTCCCGCAGGACGGCCCCGCCGCCCGGCCGCCCGGCCGCCGGATCCCTGCGCGGAGCCCCGCTCCCCTGCGCGCGGCGCTCCGCCCCCCGGAAAGTAGATCCGGCCGGGCAGACAAAAGTTTGGGAGAGAAGTTGGGGCTGCGCTGAGTGTGGGAGCGCGGGGGGCGGGGGCCCGGGAGAGCGGGGCGGCCGGGAGCGTCGCTGCCGGAGCCGCCAGAGCCGCGGACGGGACAGCGGCGCGCGGGCCCCTCTCGCCCCGCGGAGCCCCTGATGCGCGGGGGGCAGCAGCCCCTCTCGCCGGGGGATGCTGTGGGGCTCTTGGCACCCGGCATCCGGGCCGCCCGCTGAACCCCCCGTGCCTACCCCGTGCCCCCGGGGAGCCGAGGTCCGGCCGCGGGGACCGAGAAGCGGCAGCCCAGGCGCTGCGGGGCGCCGGGCGGGGCGGGGGCCGGCGGCCCCGGGCCCGAGGGCATGGAGCGCCTGGGGGAGAAGGCCAGTCGCCTGCTGGAGAAGTTAAGACTTTCGGACTCCGGCAGCGCCAAGTTCGGCCGCAGAAAGGGTGAATCTAGCCGGGCTGGGTCTGATGGGACCCCCGGCCCGGGCAAGGCGCGCCAGAGTGGTTTGGGGGGCCCTAGGAAATCAGGGCCCCGTGGAGCTGCTGGGGCACCTGGGGATGAGCCGCTGGACCCAGCCCGGGAGCAAGGCCCCCTGGACGCTGAGCGGAACCCGCGCGGCTCCTTTGAGGCTCAGCGCTACGAAGGTTCCTTTCCCGGGGGGCCTCCTCCCACCCGGGCCTTGCCTCTACCTCAGTCACTGCCCCCCGACTTTCGGCTGGAGACTTCGGCCCCGGCCCTGAGCCCCCGCTCCAGCTTCGCCAGCAGCTCCGCCAGCGACGCGAGCAAGCCGTCCAGCCCGCGGGGCAGCCTCCTGCTGGACGGGGCGGGGGCCGGCGGCGCCGGGGGCAGCCGACCCTGCAGCAACCGCACCAGCGGCATCAGCATGGGCTACGACCAGCGCCACGGCAGCCCCCTGCCCGCCGGGCCGTGCCTGTTTGGGCCCCCCCTGGCCGGGGTGCCGGCGGGCTACTCCCGGGAGGGGTGCCGTCCGCCTACCCGGAGCTCCACGCCGCCCTGGACCGACTGTGCGCCCACCGGCCCGCGGGCTTCGGCTGCCAGGAAAGCCGCCACTCGTACCCCCCGGCCCTCGGCAGCCCGGGAGCGCTGGCCGGGGCCGGAGTGGGCGCGGCAGGGCCCTTGGAGAGACGCGGGGCGCAACCCGGACGACACTCGGTGACCGGCTACGGGGACTGCGCCGCGGGCGCCCGGTACCAGGACGAACTAACAGCCCTGCTGCGCCTGACGGCGGGCACCGCGGGGCGAGAAGCCGGCGCCCGCAGGGAACACTCGGGGATTGAGCCGTCGGGTCTGGAGGAGCCGCCGGGCGCCTTCATCCCGGAGGTCGCCCGGGTCCGGATGCGGGAGCCCGAGGCCAGGGAAGACTACTTCGGTGAGTAGGACGGAGGGCCGGGCACGCGCGGGACGCGCCGCCGCCTGCGCCCGGCGCCCCCTGCTCTGATGGCCCCAGTGGCGAGAACTGGGAGGTTGGGGGTGGACCCCCGGGCCGGGGAAACTGGCAGGAGGGTTTTAGATGGGTCGGGGTTTTATATGAATCAGGGGCTCCATAGCCCTAGAAAACGCAACCTCTCCTGGGTATCTTGGGAGCCTCGGGGCTTTGCTGTAGAAGGCATCGTAGGGAGGGGACCAAGTGAGGCTGTGAGCGACTCCCCCATCCCGCTCCCCCCTTCGCGGCGGTGCCCCTGCAGGCTTCCGCGCGCCGCGCCCCCACCCGGGCCCTGGCTCCGCCCGCAGGAATTCGGGGAATGCGCGGGTGGGGGGGCGCCCGGGCGCGCCGCGTGCGTGCCGGCTCCTGCCCGGGCGCTCCAGGTGCCTGCGGGCGGGGCTCGCCGCGCGGCGCGGGGTGCAGGGCGGGGTGCTGGGGGCCGCTTCCTAGCACGCGCGGAGCGGTGGCTACCGTCCCGGAAAGGGCGCCTGGGAGGGAGGATGGGGCGCCTGGGATGGGGAGCAGGAATACAGCTGCTGCTGCCGTGCCGGGGCCCTGGCTCCAGACGGGCATGGGCGTTCTAGCTTCTGTTTTCCCATTCTCCGGAAGTCAGGGCAAGAAGCCGTGCCCCGGGGATGCCATCGCCCCTGGAGGGATGAAGACCCCGTGTAACTTCAGTTTTGGCCATAACCTGCTTAGAATTCAGGGTAGAGGTAGCCCCTTTCTAGCTACTGCTGTTAAGGAAACCTGGTCGCTGGTCCTTGCTTCCCTTTGAGAAGTATTAATTGAAAGTATGTCTCTGCCACGGGGGTGGTAGTGAGTGGGGGAGATAATGTGGTATCGAATGATCTTCTAACCAAGACCCACAGGCACCGCTTCACTCTATAAAGAAATGCCCATCTGATTGTGATGGGAAGTACAGAGAAAAGTGGAGAGCTCACCCCCACGGCCGTTGGCCTCAGTTTTCCAGGCCGCTGCTCACTTCTCTCACCATCCATGTTCCTGCACTGTAACCACCACAGACCCCTGTGCTAGAAATGTGAGTAGGGAAAGGAACAGAACAACCAGGCAAGACAGGTTGGGAGGAGATTCAGAGGTAGCAGGGCTGAAGGCTTGGAAGGGCCCTGCCTGGTTCAACCCCAGTTTCCCCCCTGAGAGAGGAAAACCCTCAGATGATCTTTGGTCAAGGGAGACTAAGCAGCAGGATCCTTTTAGCAGTTTCCATTTGAGACCCAGGAGAAGTGGCTATTGGGTGGCAAATTTCTTTGGCTAAACCATGAGAGCCGAAAGGAAGAGAAGCAGTCAGGGCGCAGCATAAGAGGGCAGGAAGAACATAGGTGTGGATATGCTGGGTTAGAGTTGGTGAGGTGGACATGCCTGAGCAGTTTGCTCTTGTCTTCTCATAATGTCCACGGTTTCCCAAAGAAATGGCACCAACAGGGTTCCCCCTTGCATGGCAGCCTTGGGGCAAATCTCCCCTCCCATGAGATGCCACATTCTGACTTCAGAGGTAGCACCTCTTCTCCAGTGGTCAGGTTGCCTCCTCTACAGGACCCCCAGCCTGACTGTACCCTCCTTCTTCTGTTCCTAGTAGGGGCCCTCTTCCTTGGCTCCAGCCTTGCCCAGCTGCCGGAGGGTGGGAGCAGAACAGGCCTGGGCCCATCAGTGGCTGCAGCTGCTGCACGGGCTCCCAAGGCCCTGGGCAAAGACTGGGATGGGCCCCAACAGGCAAGGAGTGTGGCACAGTGCCGAGGGGGAGAGGTGGGGTGGGGTGAGGCGGGCCCGTTGGGATCTGCTCCCCAAAGACAGGCCCTAGCCCTCACTCATGGGCCTGGAATTGGGGAGTGGAGGGAGGAAAGAACACACCCAGGAAAGGCGGGTGCCAGAGCCAGGTGTGTGTATTTGGGGGGAAGGGGGTGGCATATCAGGGAAGCGCAGTTCAGCTCTGTATCTCCCATGATAGACGATGACAGGAAGATATTAGGGGTTCTGCCACCCTTCCCCCCCTTCCTATGCAACCCTCAATCCCAAGAACACACCCTGCATTCTCAGCAGCCACCTCCCCACAGGAGTCACGCTCACGTGGTCCCCTCTGCACAGGGCCCTCTGCTGAGCCGGATCCTTCTTGCTTTCCTTGGAAGCCTGAAGGTGTGGAGCAGAGAAGTCATTCTACAGCTGAATAGCAGCTCCTTTTACAGATGGGGAAACCGAGCTCCCAGAGAGGGCCTAGCCTACTTTCTCTAGCAAGTTTTTTAAGTCTGCTGCTGGGCCCTCAAGGACTGGTATCTCTTTGGTTACAGTGAGAGTTCCTTGCCTATTTAATCTTTTCTCCTCAGCAGAAACTAAGCACCTAAAGGCCAGGGACCAGGAGTGTGTTTTTGACTTTCTCCAGTTCTTCCATAGTACTGGGCACAGTGTTTTTGCTAGGCACAAAATAGATGTCCAGAAAATATCTGTTGATTAATCAGTAAACATGAATGGATTTGCCCAGCCAAGACTTTGCTGCATCCCACTTCTCAGTACCCTCTCTTCCCAGAAGGGAGCTCATTAAAGGGACTGGTGATCCTAAAAGATTGAGAATCCCTGGTTTTGAGCTGGGGGAGCAGGGTGTGATGCTAACAGCCTCTTCTCTACCTGCAGGCACCTGTATCAAGTGCAACAAAGGCATCTATGGGCAGAGCAACGCCTGCCAGGCCCTGGACAGCCTCTACCACACCCAGTGCTTTGTCTGCTGCTCCTGTGGTGAGTGCAGCCCCCAGGCCCCTACATGCATACTCACACGGGCCTGCGGAAACGGGAGCAGAGTCTCCTCATTTGTTCACAGGGTAGTTGTCCCACCATGTGCCTGGATGTCCACTGCTGCCCACCTTCTCTCCTGCTCCTTCCTCTATAGCACCTGGCCCTCCCACCCCCAAAGTGGGTCTGCTTTCTGAAGTGAAGTTCTCCCTTCCTCTGTTCAGCCTCTTTCCTCCCCTCTGTTCCTCCTTTCTTCTGCCTCCCCGCTTGCCCAGTCTGGACTCCAGCCCGGCCCTCGGCCTCAGCCTCCTCTTGGTGGGGTTTGGTCTTGGGCAGCCGAGTTGCCTGGGGCGACAGTGAAAGACTGGAATGTGGGAAGGGGGGTGGTGGGGGTGGGCTGGGGGAGTATGGGGGCCATGGGGGGGCGGAGTGGGGGGTTTTCTCTTGGCTGGTCAGAGTTCAGCCACCTCGCTAGAGTGCAGGCCACCAGGCCATGCCAAGCTGATGACATCACGCTCCAGGAATGCCCGTTGCTGTTAGCTCAGGAGGCCCGCCTGGAGGGGGGGTGGGTGCTCCCAGTGCCCTTAACTCCCCAGCCCTTCCCTCACCTCTCTCATTACCCCCTCCCCACTGCTTACCCACTCTGATTCCTTTGCTAAACCTTTAATCTCCTATCTGCCTGCCTGACTCCAGGCTCAGCTCTTCTCTCACCCCCACACCCCGCTCTGCCTGGTTCTCTTTAGGTTCATCTGTCTGTCTGTCCTTCTTCTGGGTATGTCTCTTTCCTTCTCTATACCCTTGTGTCTCCTGAGTTTCTGAGTCAGTTTTTCTAGACCACCAGGCAGAGCTGGAAGTGGAGATTTTGAGGAGCAGAGAACAGAGGTGGGCAACCCTCCTGTCCTCCACCCGGTTCTCAGTCCTCCCCCATCTCAGGTGATTTAGACTCCCTGGAGCAGATGGTCCCTGTCACTCCACTGCCTTCTGACCTCTCCCCGGAAGGAGGCTGACAGGCTGGGAGAGCAGGATAGCTCTTCTCAGGCAAAGAGGTGCCTTGGTTGAAAGGTCCCAGAGGGCAAGGCCTGGATGACGTGATGGTCTCCGCGCACATTGTACGAACCTTCTGGGCTCCTTCACATTCTGCAGCCCTGGTTGGTTCTGCTTTCTCAGATGGCTCCCAGGCACTGGGCACTGGAGAGGAGGGTGCTGGTTTAGGGGAGGGTCACTGAAAACTGTTGAGGAAGCAGGAACTGAGGAACAGAGGAGAGGAAGCAGAAGAGAGGGGAATTTGGCAAGGGTGAGACCAGAGCAGATTGGAATTGCATCAGATGGATTTTGTGTGGGGAGGGACGACAGGCAGCAGGTGGAGGACAAGCGCTAAAGTTCAGATTTAAATACATCTTGCAACACTGGGGAGCAGTGACCCTGCAGCAGGGGAAACCCTGTGCCTGGGCCCCGGGATTGCCTACAGCCCTTGTCTGCTGCTTCTAGGGCGAACTTTGCGCTGCAAGGCTTTCTACAGCGTCAATGGCTCTGTGTACTGTGAGGAAGATTATCTGGTGAGTGAGGGATCCCCTGGGCCTGGAATGGGGTCCACCCATCAGGTCATTCTCAGCTTTTTACGACTCCCTTGGTCTTTTCTTCTTAGTTTTCAGGGTTCCAGGAGGCAGCTGAGAAATGCTGTGTCTGTGGTCATTTGATTTTGGAGAAGGTAAATATAGTGTTTTTGGCTGAGACTGTGAGCCTGAGGGGCTGATGAGTGGAATCCAGGGCTAAATGGGTACTGAGAAAAGGCAGGGGGAGGAAACTCATCACCAGCTAAATCACTTTCATCTCATTCCTACATAAGCAGCTGTTTACAGTGTCTGCCTATGGGATCAAGTCTAGACCCCTGGTCCTGCTGTCCTCATGTTTCCCTGATCTGGCCTCTCCTAAACTGTCGGCGAGACCAGGCCACCAGCCTGAGCTAGGAGCATGGCATGGGGTCCTGGGTCTTAACTCCCTTTCTGTTTCTGACTGGCATCGTTTGGAACATAGTTTTCTTTTCTGCAAGAGAGGAGATTGGATTACATCAGTGGTTTTCAACCCCAGCAGCTTAGCAGATCACCTAGCGTCCAGCTCTGGGGGCCCTGTTGCCTGGGTCATCACCAGAGGTCGTGACGAATACTTACGGGGTGGAACCCAGGCAGTGATGGGCTCTAAAAACTTCCTGGGTGATCCTAATGCAGCCAGGCCTGGTTGCCATGGCCCTGGGTACGCGCTAAGACTTTTTCAGGGTCTCTGTCTCCATTTTAAAACTCCCTGGTCACCTTCAGTTGTAGAGCGTTGTTCCTGGAGGCTAGCAGGGGGTGGGATGAAATGAGTGGGAGCAGCAGGGTAATGGGTACTTGGGGAGCCAGGACTGGAGGGAGACTGATTCTCCTCCCGCCACGAGCCAGATCCTGCAGGCGATGGGGAAGTCCTACCACCCAGGCTGCTTCCGATGCATCGTTTGCAACAAGTGCCTGGACGGCATTCCCTTCACAGTGGACTTCTCCAACCAGGTGTACTGTGTCACTGACTATCACAAGTGAGTCCGCCCCTTGGGGTGTGGTGTGGAACTGGGCTCGGGGCTTCCCCAACCTCAGCTCATCTCTGTCCTTTCTTACAGAAATTACGCTCCCAAATGTGCGGCCTGCGGCCAACCCATCCTCCCCTCAGAGGTCAGTATGTCTGGGTTCTCCTGCAAGGCAGCCAGTGCAGCTGCCTCTGGGGAGGGAATGGGGACATGTGGTCTGACCTCCCTTGGGAAACGGTGGTGCTGAGGAATGTACTCTGCAAAGATTCCCGTGTGACTCTGCTCTCAGGGTCATCACCCTGACCCTAACATCCGGGCCTAGACATGTCTGACAGCCTCCCTGGGCTCAGGCGCCATCTCTTCCGTACCAGTCCAGAGGAGGAAAGGTCAGGGTCCCTCTATCCCAGATGTAGGGCCTGGGGAAAGGTGGGGAGAATCCTTGGGGCTATAGGAAGGGTTCAGAGATGATTTATGCTCGTGCACCTAGGGTGTGCCTAGGGGGAGAAGCAGTCTTATTGGATCGCCTGTACCCGGCTTAGCCTTCTTAATTTATCATGCCTGCCTTTTTCCCTTCCTCTGCTTTCCCCACAACTGGGAGAGCTAGGTTAGGCCAGACTGGGCTCCTAGACAGCAGGGTCAGCTCCATCAGGACACTGAACCAATGCCAAGGAAGGGAAGGGAGAAGGTTCCAGTAGAATTTATAAAGGCCGTCTCAGAGCTACACAGAGGCTCTGGACGCTTTTATATGATCTTCCCATTAGTGCGTGTGGGGGGTGGTCTGTTAGGGGAGGATGGAGTTGGTGTCATGCTCCTCTTATCCCCATGGGGGTCTGCATGTTTCAGGGCTGTGAGGACATTGTGAGGGTGATTTCCATGGATCGAGATTATCACTTTGAGTGCTACCACTGCGAGGTGAGTGTTGGGGTCAGGGCCCCTGGAGAATTTGGAATGGGGCTAAGGGAGGAGTCAAGTTCTAGAATGACTTTCATCTGTAGGGCATGGAAAACCAGCAAGGTGCTCCTACCTATCTGTAGTCTCTTTTATCGCCATCCAGCCCCTCTCGCTGGTCCAGGGGTTTAGTCTTTGCTGAATCTGGCTTCTCCAGCCAGTCAAGATCAAACTAGGACTCCAGGTAACTGCTGGAAAGGGGAGCCTGTCTCATTGTTTCTGCTAGAGCAGCGGCACCTGGTGTCCAGCTGAGGTATTTTCTCAGGTTTCTCTTCGGGATGGCCATCCTTCCAACTCCACCTCCTTTCTTCCAGTCATTAAGAGTCTGGTATTGAGCAAGGCAGACTTTCAAGATGCCTGAGGTGCCTGAGCTGAAGTGAACTAGGTGTCCTTTTCCCCTAGGACTGCCGGATGCAACTGAGTGATGAGGAAGGCTGCTGCTGCTTCCCTCTGGACGGGCACTTGCTCTGCCACGGCTGTCACATGCAGCGGCTCAGTGCCCGACAGCCCCCTGCCAACTATATCTGAACTGCAGTCACTGCTGCTGCCATCACAACCGTTGACAAATTCCTCTGGCCAGTGGGCCCCTCCAAGGCCAGTCGCGGCAAGGAATGTACTTACTCCGTAGGCCTGGCAGAAGAGTCCTCTGGGGAGGGCCCCAAGGGCCAGAGACCCAAAGATTGTGACATTCCAAATGGACAGTAGAGGAGGACACTTCGAATTTCAAGGGCAGAGTTGACTGGCGCTCCTTCCACGTGTGCAACATGTGCTATCTAGCATATACGCAGGCACACACAGACGGGTCCCAGTGCTTTCTAAACACCTGATTCTAGTCTTTGCGTAAGTCAAGCAGTGTTCTGGTTCTGGATTAGAGGAAGACAGGATATCTAGGAGCTCCTCACTCTTACACCTTAAGGGGTATAAGCATCTTTTCTCTGTATCTGAATGAAGAGGTGGAGACTCTGGACTTTATTAAAGGAGTTATTTCTTGGCCACCTCCTCTCTGATGACTAGGAGAGCGGCTCACCCCTCTGCCGGGGTTGGGGTCCAGCTCTGGGGGGGCCCTGTTGCCTGTATTGCCTGTAACTCAGGGACTCATGTGGGCTTGGAGAGGTTAGCTGGGTGCCTGTACTTGGTCCCTCTTCTCAGATGGGGGAGAAATGACCTTGCATGCTCCCAGGTTCAAGTGCACTGAGCCCTCCAGCACATGGGTGGATTCACACACACAGACACATACACAAATACAGATACTTGTACTTGTACTCCATTCCTCTCAGGTCACTCACACTTGTTTCCCTGTCAGTATAGCTCATACTCTAGTAACTTAGTCATGTAGACCTGCCACCTCTCAGAGGGATCCAGGTTACATCCACTGCAACCTGCCAGCCCTGACACTCTGGGGAGCCGGAGGGAAAAACAGATTTGGTTCCAGCCAGTGTGGCTACAATTGTTTCACCTAAAGCTAAGTTTCTTATAGCCAGTTCACTGTGGAAAACTTGTTTGCTTAAAGTTCAGCTCACTTAATGTCCGGTTTGCCAACTGCTCAGTTCCTTGCTGGATGTTTTTATATCTGTTTAGGTGTCCGTTCTCTTTTTGTGATGCTTTGGGTATTTCAAGGACTTGTATGTATTCATCCAAGAGTACTTCCAAATTATTATTAGCAGCATAAATTTATCAAATTTGCAGCACTTTGTAAATGATGAGATTGCTTTCTACCTGTATGGATATCTTTTGCTATGTTATTTACTTTTTAAAAAGTTTAAAGTTTCTAGCAATAAATATAATTGGTACAGACATTTTGTGTATAATTTTTTGTTTCTTAATCCAATATTTCTTTACAAAGCAGATGCCTGGAAAATTGTAATAGAGCTTAATATGACTTTGGTGCTTGGTCTAATTTCTACATTCCTATTAAAATGCCAATATATTCTAAACAAATGAACGGGCGTATGGCACATTCAGCTGACTGGCAATGGAAGGTTATAGAGACAACAGCAACAAAAAGCGAGAAAGCGTTGAATCTGCTAAATCCTTAAATGCTGCAGATTTGATAAATGTTTTAGACTAATTGCCTCTAGGTGAATTGGTTTTAGGCTAATTACTCTGATAATCTTTGATCTTTAATCTTCATTTCTGTCACTCAGTGTTTCATATTGGAAATGACTCCTGAGAACAGAAAAGCCACAGTTAGGGGTGATTCTAAGATGACTGTACCGACCACCCTGAAAATTGCCTGGAAGAGGTCTATGAATGAGAGTGGGAGTGGGAGCAGGTGTTAAGATTCATAGAGAACCAGGGGTATGGGGATGTACTATTTTTAAGGGATAAATATTCTGAAATGAGTTCACTTGTTCTGCAGCTGGGGTTGTTTCTCCTGAACTGTTAACTATTAATTAAGTAAATACAAAGACCATGACTGAGATCCTTTCTCGGCAGACTGCTCCAGGTCTGGGAAATCCAGATAAGCATGTATTGCTTTACATCCATCCCTTGAGTTCTGTCTTTCACTCTTGGGGGTGTTATCTGCTCTGTTACTCTTACCCTTTGTCTCTTATTCTGATTTAGGCTCCATACATTGTTCATTGTCCTCTGTTCCAGCCTTGGGGCTCCCCAAAGGCTCTTCTTGCTGCTGGGGCTACTCCTTTCAGAGGGAAAGCCAGTGCTAACATCTGACAAGGACAGGGCCAGGAATGGCAGGTTGCAGCAGAGGAGTAGCCCCAGTCACTACACAGCAGAGGCAGGCTCCCAAGTGTAGCCTGTAAAGCAAGAGTTTCCTGTCATCCTATTTTCTGGGGGTTGCTTATCCTTAATAGTGGCATTGAATATTTACAGTTGATAGGTGAAAGATTCATGTGAGGCTACCAAGGATACAGCAACCGGTAGGCTTGTTTGGCCAATTTGCTACCTGATTTTCATCAATAGCCACTAGTCCTGAGATGGAGAGAGGAGAAAATGGAACAATTATGGATCTACTTTGTGTGTTCAGATGAAAGTCGCAGGACATGGGTCAGCATTTAACTGCAGACTCCAGCTATTTGCTCTGGCCAGCTTGTTTGCTGCTGCAGTTCCAAATGTGGTTTATGAAGAGTAAGCTCAGGGGTGATTCTGTTTTCCCTTCTTCACCTCCCAAGGCTAGGGAAATGCTGAGGTTCCATTTATGATCAGTCAGGAAGGAGGTAGAGAAAGAGATCTTTCCCGGCATGTAAAGTCAGTTGGATGAGATTGTACCTATAAAGGATGGAATAAAAAGAGGGAAAGGAGAGTAATAGGATTGAGATGAAAAGAATGGGGAACACCTGTTTTATTTTTCAGGAGGAACTGTACCCTGGAACTGGCCGGGGTCATTCAGAGCCCTAATGGTGAGGTTCTAACCGCTCTGCCTCCCATCCTCCCTTGCCGCACAGATAATCTCAGGTTGGGCCTCCGCTGACTTGTTGCCGTGTAGGTCCTTGCACCTTGGAACGTCCACACATTGTAAAGGACTAAAGCTTGACCTTGGAAATGTGCGCAAATTATTACAGGACATAGAGGTGAGACCAGCCTGTCTCACTGGGAAGGGAAAGGAGTCATCAGAGGCAAATTCTGTCAACTATGGGTATTATTTCACCTAAGCTTAGAAAGAATAGTGCTGACAAGTGCGAAGGGAGCCATGGTGCTCTCCAAGCCGGGAGAGATGGTTTAGGAGGAATATCTACTAAAAGGTATTACTTAGAATCAAATAGGGTGTCATTGTAGAGATAGCCCAGTCACCATATTTTACTGAATGAACAAATAGAAACCGAGTAATGATGGGACTGACCTAAAGTCATGCAGCTGGAAAATGATTTTCCAATCTTTGAAGACTAGTAAGAGCTTATTTTACCTTTTCCTTCCTATCTCCCATCAGAGGGACTATAAATGAGATAAGTACTTCATTATGCTACATCATTAGGGGAAGTTTTAGTGGGAAAGCCAGGGAACACCAGAGAGAATAATGACAACTTTTTGTTCTTTCTTGTGCTTTTTTTGTTAATTAGAATTAACAGTCACCCAACTACCTATGAAAATACATTAAGAGCAGCAAAGGAAATGCACTGCAGGAGAGTGCCGCCCTTGAGGAGGTCACAGTCTAGCTAGGGAGACAAATACATAAAATGCCTGAGAAGATTACAAGCAACATGTCAACAAGTGCAAAGTAAATGAGTGTCACAAAAGACAATGCCACAGAGTGCAGATGACAGAGGTAAGACTTTGGCTTAGCTTATATAGATCAGAAGGTGGCAGCCTACAGGCTGAATCCTGCTCCCACATGCATTGAGTTATTTTTTATAATATTAATTAGGACTCTAGTTGAGGGAAAACAAATTTACAAAGAATGATAGAATTGGGAAACAGCATTTTTGTGATCTTTAACAAAACTATTGATTCTTACAAAGATTATTGAAAAAACACAGGTGAAATGGCTGGTAAACTGGATATTCGTGGTGCCAAGGATAGTGTCACTCTCTTGTCTTGAGGACAGAAATAGTATTTTTGAAGGGATCAGACTCAGCACTGTTTCCTAGAATCAGTAGACCATTTTGGTGTGATGCAAAATACATCACCCAACCTAGTATATATTACAGCTGCTCCCTATTCCCAGAAAAAATATTAGATATAACTTGACTTTACAGGAGATACCAGGGACAGAGAAATAAACTAAGGGACACTATAGGAAGCAACTGGACAAATCAGGAGGTGAGGTATTATGCAGTGCAACTGGCCAGCTCTATTCAGCAAGTCAGTACAATTTTTAAAAAATTTGCTAGATCAGAGAGACATAAGATGTATAATAATTCTATAGTGTATAGGCCTGGTTACTCTATTAGTTTAAACAAATTATTATAAAAAGGTGTTTGGGGGTTAATTTGAAAATTTTGAATCTGGACAGGGGATTAGATGAGGTGGAAATTTATGAAATGGAAAGGTCAAAATCATTAATAAAAAGTCAGTTCCAAAGCCATATGTACAGGGTAACCATATTTTGTTTCTGAAATGTCTATATTTATGGGGAAAAAAAGATCTGAAAGGTTATACACTGATGTGTTAAAGTGGTAATCTCAGAGTGGTGAGAATATGTTTTGTTACTGGCCTACATTTTCTATTTTTGTACATGTGTACTGCCTCTGTAATAATAATACGTTGTTAGAAATAAAATAACTGGTTGCCAACATTTACAGTTCTAGAGATTTTACAAAATCTGATATTGTCTAGGAACAGCTATATTTCCAAGGGGTATTGCATAATCAGAAGCTCCATCTTCCCTGGGCTTCCATTCCCACGTGGCCGCAGTGGTTGGAAGTAATGACACTGCCCTTAATTCTGTGTGTTCCCTACTTAGTTTGTCACAGTCCCCACCACTCTCTGGCTGTGCCCTTCACACATTGCTTACCTGCCTGGTTCCAGTAGACAGTTCTGAGTCAAAAAATTCTTGATTTGGATGATCCTGATGGGCTCCCCATTCATAGAACTCGACCTCCTACCCAATCAGTAATCATTTGAAGGCACCAATAAATTTGTTTTGAAATGCTGCCTAAGAAAAACATCCATTCCAGAATTATCTGTGCCTGTGTCTTTTATAAGGAAATCCAGTCATGAGAAACCCAGATGTAATACTTAATCTACTTAGCTACCATGGTTGCATACGGTAAATTAGTTTAGCAAAATTTCTCTTTGGTAAATGGAATATAAAAAAGTATACTAAATTGCTAACTTCCTCAAGGTTTTGCTTTTCTTTGCCATAACACCTAAATCATAGGAGTCATTTCAAAATTTATAATGTATGTTCTTCCCAAGCATGAAACTCCAAATGCCCTTTAGTTGGTCTTTTTCTCCCACTGGTTCTAATGCAGTTTGTAAAGGAGAAAATCTCTTTCATAGGTAACTCAGTATAAGACCATGTCATCATCAGTTTTAAATCCAAGGAAATACTTTTATCAGCGTGGTACATGTTTTCGCATTACTGCAGCACACTGGACCCATTATAACAAGATCTGCACATGTTGTGCTTCATGTCTAGTTTTCCAGAATGATACTTGTCATTGTCTTCTGAATCAGTTTCCTTTACTGTCTCATATTCCTTTGGTAAAAATTGTTTCAATCTGTCCCATTTTTTGGGCCAAATTGCTCAGCATTTCTTTGATATCCAAAATTTCTTATCAGGTCTTGTTTATATATTAATTCACATTGTGTCTCAAAGTAAAGTTGGTCTCATTCCGATTTGTATCACAAAAGTTTTCATGGACAGGCAATCCTTGAAGCTGCAAGGGACTTGGTTTGAAATACACTTGGAAAGGTTAAGCAATTGCAAAAATGGTACATTATGAACATTTGTTCTGAATTTTCATTTGCTGTCATAGGTTGATTACATATTTTCTTTATCCACTTGTTTTCTTCTTAAATCATGTACTTACAATGGGCGTGAAATTTTCTAGCTTAATCATCAATAGTTGTGGCTTTGAATACCTTCATTTCCCAGCGAACACCTTTGAAAATAATTCTAAAATCTCTTGAATGCCTGTAAAAAATTTTATTTCTGAAATTAGTTCCTGATCTATAATACCATAATATATTCTGGCTATTGTCTTCAGATACTTTCAAAGTGGTGTGACTTATTTTAAGTTTTTCTAAACAATTGCTCAATTATGTGTGATTCCAAGGTCCAATGGCTATGTTAACATCCTAGCTTTGAGAGTGGTTACTTAAACCGGGAATTATCAGTGTGAGAAAAGTTTCCTTTAGTTGGATAAGTAGAATTCTACATACTCACCTGAAATATCTATCTTTGGAGCATCATTTTGTTTCCTGGCTACTGTGTGGGAGGCAGAGTCCCTACAATGTACTCAGCAGATTTCCATTCTTCTCCATAATTCTAAACAATGCAACAAAGAAATACCCAAGTCTGAAAGGTTAAGTAGACTTTTTCTCAGACTCCCATTTACATTTATCATCAAGTTAAAAGCATCTACATGAATATTTTTTTAATGCTTGCTCTAAGAGCAATCAATGCCTTCAAGAAATTAGAGCTATCTGCACAGCAAAAGAGACAATAACAAAAACAAAGAGAAACCCCACCAACTGGGAGAACATTTTTGCACCCAACCTTAATGATAAAGGACTGATCACAAAAATCTGCAAAGAGCTGATGAGACTCAACAACAACAAAGAAAATAATCCAGTCAAAAAATGGGCAGAAGAGCTAAAAAGAAACTTCTCTGAAGAGGAAATGCAAATGGCCAACAGGCATATGAAAAAATGTTCAACATCACTTGTCATCAGGGAAATGCAAATCAAAACTACCATGAGATACCATCTTACACCAGTGAGAATGGCACATATTAAAAAAACTAGCAACAACAAATGTTGGCGAGGGTGTGGAGAAAAAGGAACTCTTCTGCACTGTTGGTGGGAGTGCAAACTGGTCCAACCACTGTGGAAAGCTGTGTGGAGATTTCTGGACCTACTAAACATAGAGCTTCCATATGATCCAGCAATTCCACTCCTAGGTATTTACCCAAAGGACACAGAAACATCCATTCCAAAGAACACCTGCACCCCTATGTTTATAGCAGCACTGTTTACAATAGCTAAGCTTTGGAAACAACCCAAATGCCCAAAAATAGATGACTGGATCAAGAAGATGTGGTACATATACACCATGGAATATTAACTCAGCATTCAAAAAAGATAAACACATGCAATTTGCAGCAACATGGATGGCGCTGGAAGGGATCATGCTCAGCGAAATAAGCCAAAAAGAAAAAGAAAAATACCGGATGGTCTCACTCATAGCAGGAATCTAGAAAACTTAAATAAGGGACCAGGAAAATGAATAACTATAAGAAAGTGAAAATCAAAATCAACAAAAAACTATGAACCAGAGACACTTTTAGGGGGGCAGGGGCGGGAGGGGAGGGATTGGGGTCAGAATGGGGGCGCTGCAATTGTATGGGGAATATAACAATAAAATTTATTATCTAATAAAAAATAAATAAAAAACAAAGACTGAATTGGATATGAATAGTAACTTGGAGATAGCAGATAAACACCTTAAATATTTGTCTTCATACCAGAAGTATAAAATAGCTAGCTGATTGTTCAAGTCTTTCATTTTAACTTTCGATAATGTTTTTGTAGTTTTCCTCATAAAAATCTTATAAATTTAAATTTTCTCTCAAGAAAAAAAAAAAAAGAAATTAGAGCTAGATTGTGGGCAGGAGTTATATCTAGTTAATCATTCTATATGCCTTTCTAACAACGCCCCCCCCAAAAAAAAATTAGCTCAGGAATACTTGATCACGTTCTTGGCTTTATCATTAAAGACATTTAGAAAGTGAGTGACTGTACTTTGCATATGGCATAGCAGAAGGTGAGATGAACAACACTGATGAAAGACTGGCCCACAAAAGCTAAGCGTTCCTCCTGAAAAAAACAAAAATTCATTCTTTAAACAAATGCCTTTTGTATGTCAAACACTGAGATAAATACCCCGGGGTCTTGGGGAAAGCACCTCCTTAGATACAAACCCCCTCAAATTACAGTTTGGTCTTTTTTTTTTTGAAGATTTATTTATTTATGCATACAAGAACTTGGGTACAGGCCTGGGGTACAGGCCAGAGGTGCGGCAGGGGTGGTGTGTGTGTGTGTGTGAGAGAGAGTATCCACCAGAGACAGAGTGGGGAACAGAACAAGCAGACTGACTGAAATACACTGCTGAGGGGAGCAGCTGGCGAGACAGGAGAGGTCTGCTGCATTGTATGGCTATCCCCCTGGCTAGGAATCGAACTCATGCTGCAGTGGCTGCGGACAGCTTCACAGTGCTGTGCTTAACCCCTTGCGCCACCAGGGAGGTTCCAAATTATAGTTTTAAAGAGGATTAGCTATTTCTCATTAATAAAAAAAAATGAACTTAAAAAAAAAAGAATTATTGATACTAGCAACAATATATATATGAATCTCAAAATTAACTGAGTGAAAAGAAGCCAGACCCAAATATAAATAGATAGAGATAGATAGATAGATAGATAGATAGATAGATAGATAGATAGATCATTATTTCATTCCATTTATATAAAACTCTAGAAAGTGCAAACTAATCTGTAATGACAGAAAGCAGATCAGTTGCTGGAAGGGGCAGAAAGGAATTTCAAAGGGACACTTAGGGGGTGATGCATTTGTTCACTGTCCTAACTGTGGTAATGGTTTCACAATTAGAGGTGCTGGGTTATGTTATGTCAAAACAATGAGTCGCACACTTTAAATATCACATGCCAAAATACCTCAATAAAACTTTTTTTTTTAATCCAGGAAAAGGGGAGAGGGAACGTAAGAGAGCGAATGGATTCTAGGGCCCATCTAGTAATTCATTCTCGGCTCAAATACACCAGATGACCTCTGATTGTAAGATCCTTTTTTCAGCACTACTCTGTAGTCTTAACTGTCGGAGTGGTCTAAAGGCTCAACTTTCTGGTCTTATGTAGATCTGGCCTACAAAGTACTTCCCTGAAGCTGTTCCAATTTCCTCTTGGATCTAGAATGCAACTTGGACTCCCTGTCTCTTCCTTCATTTGCTGGGATGTTTCCTCCATTCTAAATAATTCAAATTTTCATTCCTTTCAGGCCCAGCTAGGATAAGATTTACTTCATGATATTTCCTATTCATTCCTGCAGAAAGAATTCTGGACATCTTCAAATTTCTCTAGTACTTATAATCTACACTCCTCTTTTGACACCTTTTTGCTACCTTATTTTATCTACTTTCCATGTGCATGTCTTCTCAACTAGAGTATGAACTTCTTCAGGGCAGGGACTGGGTCATCTTTATCTTTGTGTCTCTCCCAAGGCACTTAATAAGTGCTTAATAAGTGTCAGTTTAAAAACATCTTACTTTGATAGTCTTTCCAAAGCACTTTCTCAGCCATTATCTCATTTGATCATTACATCAACACTAGGAGATTGGAGGAGTTAGAAATATGTTAATTCTTCCTTTTGACAGATAAGGAACCTGAAGCTCAAGGTCACACAGTTTATTTGAGACAGATGGAACAGATAATTGCATATGAAGGTTTGATTCAAGGATTCCTGTGCCTATCCTCTCTCGCCTTCCACCTGAAGACAGGCCTCTGCACCCTTCACCTCCTCATTCCCCAAGTACTTTACAGCTGCTTAGCCAAAGCTTCCTATTGCAGTGCCCTATTAGAAAACTTGGCAAATCTGAGAGACAAAATTTCAGTAGATTTCTGATAAGCTCTGAGTCACCAAAAGCATGTTTGCTATTTTGTTCCAAGTGCCATTTGTTAGGGACATTATGCCTGATATTTAATGATGCTGCACTACAGAGCTAAGGAAGCATAAATGATTTTTAAAAGCCTTAGAAAATGACAGCACTTTAATATTAGCATGAAAAGTGGTAGCTGACAAGATGACCAGGGATATAAAATTTCTGCACTGGATCACACTATTTCTCTATGTATCATTCGGATTCTCTCCTTGGTCCTAAAGATGAAACTCTCCATCTCCCAGCACACCTAGCCCTGAGATTCTTTCTTACCAATCCAGGCTGTTAGCTTCTTCTCTGATGCAAGAGGTTTGATAAGTTTGGTGCAATTTACTCAACGTCAAATATTATTTGTTTAAATAACTCACTTGTCTAGATTCCAGTCAACTTTACAGAAGATGGGGGTTGGGTTAAGACAGAGTTAGGGCCACCACCTGGGAAGACTGGCGACCTTTTGTCAAAGACCACAGCCAGCCTGAGTCAAGCCCAGGGAGAAAGGCTTGATGTGTCCCCTCTTCTCACCAGTCTTCTCTCCCTCTGACCTCCTGCTCGGATCCCCCATTGGCTGAAACCAGTCTGAGAATTTGGAAACCCTAAAGTTTTTCAGGTAGTCCTCAGTGGCCTCCTCAGGGCACTCAAGAGTCCACTCTGGATCATCTGGGGGAGGAAAATAGAAGACATTCAGCTCATTGGTCTAGGGGTGGGCAGGTGACGCAGTCTGGCCAACGAGGTCTACGGGGAAAGTCTCCAGGATGCTTTGGGGCCAGATCTTTGCCTGGGGTGCTATTGAGGGAAGGAAGCCACCCTGTGACCAGGAGGCGTATACAAAAAGAACGGCAAAGAACAGTGAACCACGGAGTTTGTGAAAAGCCTTGGAACCTCCAGCTCCACACTTCTTATGACAAGCAAACAATACATGTCCATGTAGCTTAAGGAAAAAAAAATACAGGTGAACGAGGGGTGAGAGATGGAGCGGGCAGCCCGCGGGGAGCGAGAAGGCGCCCCACGGGGCAGGGCGGGCGGGCGGCAGCGCCCGAGGGAGGAGACTCGGGCTGAGCGTGCGCGGCAGCCTGGGCAGCCTGGGCAGGTCCGGAGGCCATTGGGCTTAAGAGTGCGGCCACGACCTTGACTGAACAAGCCACTTAACCTCTTTGCACCTTAGCTTTCCCCTCAATAAAAGGGGAGGGATAGTGACGTCCTCGTAGGTTCTGTGAGAACCACAGCTCCCCAGAGGAGGTGAGGCAAGGCAAGTAAAACTTTTGGCTTAGTGCCTGACTCAGGAGGCCCAAACAATTAGTCATTACTATTTTCTTAGCGTTTGGAAGGGGCAAAGGAGCCTTCCCGAGACCCCCCCGGCTCGCCCAGTCCCGACTCCATAACCCGGCCCACGGCCGTTGGGGTCGGAAGCCGCGCGCCGGTGAGGGGCGGGGCCCGCCGTTCCCGCCTGGAGCGTGGCTCCACCCCCTCCCTCCCACGCGCCCTGCTGTGCTCTTTAGGCCGGGTCCCTCCCGGGACTTTCCCGCCGGTCCTCCGAGCCCTGCTTCCCCCAGCGCCGGCGCCCGCCCGGGTGAGAGGTTCCGGAGCGCGGTCGCGGGCGGGGTCCCGAGCGTCGATGCTGCCGGCCAGCCCTCCCCAGCACCCCCCCGCACTGCCTCGGGAGCTTCAGCTGCCCCAAGGGGTGCAGGTTTGCTTCACCGGGTCTGCGGGCGGCGCCTCGGGGAGGAGGGGAGCTGGGAGGGTGTCAGTCCGGCCAGCCCCCGTCCCTGGCCAGCCCCCAGTCTAGGTCTCCGGCCGCCGAGCCCGCCCTCGCCCTTGGGAATCCTTGGCTGTCCAGACTGAAGGGAAGAAGGCGCCGGAGAGCCCGCTCCGCATTTTGATTCATCTTGGGCCTTGTAAGGGTCACATCTTGTGAAAATACCTGTAAAATCAATTTAACGTTCAGTGCAGCGTGTAAAGACAGCTCTAAGAATTTAAAAGACGCCTGAGTCAGAACATTTAAATGGTTGGGTCCCCTGTAGCAGCGTTTTAACACGTCTGAGTGCAGAGGGTGGAGAATCGAGCCTGATTGCAGCCACCGTTCACGCCCCGTAACATTTAAAAAGGGTGAAGAAAAGAAAATCGAAGTGGGCAGATCCTCCAAGGAGGGAAGAACAGCTGACTTCTTTGAAATTTGGCTGGGTCTTTTTTCCTTTTGCAAAATTTGCTTTCAGAACTTACTTGCCGGCGTAGATAAAGGATAAATAGAACTGTTAAAACACTGAGCTTAACTAAGTAGTGGCTTTTGTTGACAAGTCGGTCGTATTATTAATTCTTAATGTCTCATCCAAGGCAAGAATCGTTATCTCAGTTTTGCAGGTGGAAAAAGTTTGGCACAAAAAAGTATTTCCCTTCAATTCACACAGAAGCTACAGCTGGGCTGCGAATTAAGTCCCAGCTTTCTGACTCCTCAGCTGCGTCCCCTCTAGACCATGTTACAAAACAAATGAGTAGTTACTTTGATGTTACTCATAAAAGGAGGGAGTAAACCAAATGTTCTGTGAACATGAATTGTTAAATCATAATAACCTTCAATGCCTGTTCTGCTTTGGGAATCTCAGCTGCCCTTTGGACTTGATACCTTACAGAGAAGGGGGGAGGTCAAAAAGGAAAAGATGTTGAGGGGGGAAAATTTGCCTCCCCAGTCTAAACTGTGCCCATCTTTACTGGCCCTTTGTGTTGATGTCATTCTTTTCAGTGGACTTCATGTTCTGGCAAAAGCCTGACAGCTCCCATCTGGGCCTCAGCCACCTTAACTACACCTTTGGGTTGCTCCTTTGGCACTGACCTCCTGTCAGTCTTCTTGTCATGCTCTTTCCTCTAGGTGCTCTTTACCTTTGCTGTTATGAGAAAGCCAGTTGTTCAAGTGTGGAATGATTTGTCACCCCTGAAGGATGATTCTAGAATTAATGATCAAAAAATCCTAACATTTTAGTTGAAGACAAGTTAAAGAAGCACAAGAAATTATTATGGAATTTGATAGCTAAATTATTTAATTGGGGGATGGGGAGCAGACTTTTATTTTTCCCCCTTTTCCCAGTTCACTCATAACTAGAAAGCAGCGCTCAGTTGTAACTTAGACATAATGGTTGGGGGAGGTTAATCCTCCTGTTTAGACTACCGAATTGGAAAGCTTTCTTTCCATAAGAGGCTCATTTTTAGACAACTTGGAACAAGTAGAAACATTTATGTGCTTGGAATGCAAAATGTTTTGCCATTTATAAGGCTGTTTGTCCATAAAACTTGTGTAAGAGCTTGGAGCCAGGATGTATGATGTAGTACCTCCCTATAAGAGGCATCTCTGAGGTTCCCCCTCTCCCCAAAGCTTGTAGACAACCGAAGTTCTGATCCACGTTAGTTTCCTCTGGACCAGCCAGGCAGTTTATTCCTTTTTCTGTTGTGATCCCCCCACCCCCGACTCAGTCTACAGATCAGAATCCCAAGAAAATCAGATGGCATCTGGGGACTTCTGCTCACCTGGAGAAGGGAAGGAAATACTCCAACAAGGTAAGGCAAGCCATTTGCAAGAGGTTTGATGACTTTTCCAGAGAGCTCTTACCCAGGTTCTTGACTTCCTTAATAATATTCACCAAGATGGAGTCTCTCACAGAAGCCTATGTTTCAGGGGAAATGCAAATACATGATTCTTAAATACTCTTTTAGAAAACAGATGATAAGGAAATATCTTGTTTAGATTTATTTATTGTCTTGAAAAAAGTCCAAAATATCTTAAGTAAAAACAAATTACATGTTCAGTACTTGCTTGTGTAGTATACTAAAATCTCAAGATGCTCCCATGCTGTATCAGCATGCATACCCTGAAGATAAGGGTGACCAGCAAACATCTTGTTCTCCAAAATACCAGATCCTTCTATATCTTGAATTCTTCCCATATCCCAAATCTTTTCTATATCTAAAATCTTTCAAGAACTTGAATGGTCTATATTTGGGCCATTTTCGTATTAATGCTTCAGTGTCTTAGGGGAAAAAACAAAGAGATGTCTTCTCCAAAATGACTTTAATTACATTCCAATTAATGAAAATTTAAGTGTTTAGTAAGTAGGAATAAAACGGAAGACCCCAGAGCCTCCTTGGTGGTGCAGGGTTTAAGTCTCAGCACTATGAAACTATTGCCACTACAGTATGAGTTCAATCCCTGGCCAGGGAGCTAGCCCACCTGGCGCAGCAGACCTCTCCTGTCTCCCACTGCTCCCCTTAGCAGTGTATTCCAGTAGGTCCACCTGTTCTGCTCCCCACTCTGTCTCTGGTGAATCCTCTCACCCCCTGCACTTCTGGCCTACACCCCAGTTCTTGTATGCATAAATAGATAAAGTAAATATTAAACAGGACCTCCCTGGTGGCCCAAGGAGTTAAGACGCAACCTATGAAGCTATATGCAGCCATTGCAGCACTAGTTCAATCCCCGAACCCTGGCCAGGGAGCTGCCTACATGGCACAGCAGACCTCTCCTGACTCGCCTGCCGCTTCCCTCAGCAATGTATTTCAGTCAATCTGCCTGTTCCCCACTCTGTCTCTGGTGAATCCTTTCACCTCCATACCTCTGGCCTGTATCCCAGTTCTTGTATGCATAAATAAATAAATCTTTAAAAAAATAAATCTTAAATAAACACAGGAACCCCCAGAAGAAAACACATAGGAAGAGAGATGGAAAGTCCCTTGAGGGGCCTCCCTGATAGCCTAGGGGTTAAGTCTGATCTCTGGCCAGGGAGCTGGCCCACATATGGTGCAGCAGACACTCATTGCTCCCCTTGCTCCCTGCTTTGTCTCTGGTGAGTCCTCTCACCTCCTCACACCCTTCCCCAATCCTGCACCTCTGGCCTACACCCCACTTCTTCTACACACACACACACACACACACACACACACACACACACACATATACCTTCTCAGCTTTGCTTATGCAACTAGAGAGCATATCCAAAATTGAAACTTTCCATGTGTTCCCCCCACCACCTTCCTCATGAACTCTTGTTATTCTGTATAAATGAGGCATTTTGGGTATTGTTGATTCCTTATTATAGATTCTATTTGTCTAATATTTTCCAAATGCATTTCTAATTTTTAAGATCTTAGTTTTATTCGATACCCATTTCCTGATTCTTGATTAATATCCTTGTATATAACATAAATGCTGTTACTTTGAATGTTACCCCTAGTTTATGGATTAAAAGAAATTTTTCATTTGCTTTAAAAACCTTCCTTATTAAAAACCTAGGGTTCTTTTAGAAGTGAGTATTAAGCTAAAATTATGCTCAACTATATAAAGTAAGAGACCGTACCTTCTTTGCTTTTCTGTCACTGTGGGGGACATGCTACTAAGTGTGCAGCAAACAGCTTCCTCCTTGTAACCTGAGTGAAGAGGACCTGTTGCAGAACCCACACTTCAGCAAACTGCTGCTGAGTCTCTCACAACATGTGGATAAGAGTGGCTTAAGCCTCACCCTGGCGAAGGAGCAGGCTCAGGTAAGGGTCCTGGGAGCAGGGATGATAGAAAGAAGGACAAATCTTCCAAGAGAGGAAGGCTTTTCCCTGGGATCTTTTGTTTTCTAGGCATGGAAGGAAGTTCGACTGCATAAGACAACATGGTTGAGGTCTGAGATTTTACAAAGGGTCATTCAAGAGTTGCTTATAGACTACTATGTGAAGAGACAAGACACAAATTTAACATCTGAGGACAAAAAGGTGAGGCAGGAGAGATGAAATAGGAGTTGGTTACCAGCTATGTAGGAGTGACCAGGCCAGTTACGGCTTTATTTGATTATGATCTGGGAGAAATAGGAGCTTTGAGTAACGGTCATCAAAAAAGAAATGGACTGTATATATTGGGGAAGAGGTGGGTATATTGTCAGGGTTTTTGAACAACAAAGATTTGAAGAGAAGACAATGGCAGCTGAGAAGCTATCTGAAGAGGGTGACATGTTTGAAAATTGGGAAGAACTGGTTCATGAGGAAAGAGGCGGTGTAGTAACCTGAGGTGGAGAGGTTTTATAGTAACTGCTTTTTGTTTTTTGTTTTCTCAGTTTCATGAGACCCTTGAACAGCGACTACTTGTGACTGAACTGACACGGCTTTTGGGCCCTAGCCGGGAGAGGGAGATGCCTCCACTGCTAGGGCTGGAGAAAGAGGACCTTCTGGAACTCATGCCTCCCTCAGAGGTTGGGGTGGACAGATAATGGGACTAAAACAACATGGTTTAATTTCTCTCATATAGCTTTTTGTTAAGCTTTATTGTTTTTGTAAAGATGATACAAATTCATGTTGGTTAAGCTCAAATATTAGATCTAAAAATAGTGTTATATACCTAGCTTTGACATAAATGGTATTATGTCCCCCCATGCTTGTATACAATATGTAATTTGTTTTTACTTAAGATATTTTGGACTTTTTTCAAGACAATAAATTAAGCAAGATGATACTTCCTTAACCCCTTGCAGGGGTTAAGTCTCAGCATTATCAAGCTATTTGCAGTACAAGTTCGATCCCTGGCCAGGGAGTTGACCCACATGGTCCAGCAGACCTCTCCTGTCTCGCCTGCTGGTCCCTTGAGCAGTATATTTCAGTCAGTCTGCCTGTTCGGACCCCCACTCTGTCTCTGGTGAATCTTTACCCCCAGCACCTCTGGCCTACAGCCCAGCTCTTGTATGCATAAATAAATAAATCTTTAAATAAGATGATATCCCTAAAACACTCTTAGCACAGTGTCCAGCCACATAATTAGTGTGATTAGTGTTCTTGCTGTATCATCAGTTCAAATTTCCAATAGGATTCCATGGTATAAATGTAGCATGATTTGCTTAATCTTATTTTTAAAAAGATTTATTTATTCATTTATGCATATAAGAACTGGGCCAGGCCAGAGGTACAGGGGGTAAGAGAATTCACCAGAGACAGAGTGGGGAACAGAAAGGGCAAATCTATTGAAATATACTGCTGAGAAGAGCTGCAGGCAAGGCAGGAGAGGTCTGCTGTGCCATATGTGGGTTAGCTCCCTGGCAGGGGGATCGAACTTAGGCCGCAGCGGTGATAAATGTGACAGTGCTGAGACTTAACCCTTACACCACCAGGGAGACACGATTTGCTTAATCTTAATGATGGATATTAAGGTTGTTTTCCTCCTTTTTGCTGTTAGAAACCACACTCATATGAACATGCCAGATCATATGTGTCTTTGCCCTGGTGTATTTCCTGAGTTAGTCAAAGTGGGATGAGTGAGTCAGAGGAGAGACATGTATAACACATTGGTACATTTTGCCAAACTGCTCTCCAGAAAGGTGTGCTCAGTGCTCCTGGTTCCCCCTTTTCATCCAGTCATCTTGACAGTCATTTACTCTTTGCTAATTTCATAGGCTACAAAGTTCCCTCATGTTCTCTTGATGCATTTTCTTTGGTTATCACTGAGATTGTTTTCACCAAATAAATGTTCATCAGCTGGATCTTCCTAGTTCTAATGGTCCATCTGCATCTCTCTTTTGGCTTGTGGCTGTAGGATTTTGTGTGGATGAGAGCTCGACTCCTGCTGGAAGTAGAGGAACAGCTCAAAAAGAAGTGTTTTACTCTGCTCTGCTACCATAATCCCAATTCAGGTGAGTACAGCTCACTCTGTTCTGCTCGCCCCTGGCCTTCAGGGCTCCAGGTTTGCTTTTCTGAGAATAATGTATTTAAATTTTAGATTTGGGACAGAAGCTGAGAGGCTTTGGAGAGGCTTGTTTGCTTCCTTGCTGGCAGAATAAAAGCAAAGAATTTTGAACAGGTTCCTTTTATTCAGTAAGGTGCCAAGCAGGAATGTCCCCCTGCTGCAGGGAAGGATGAATTCTTTCTTCTCAGGAGAATCAGAATAGAATAGACAGGGGGCCTCCCCGGTGGCGCAGCGGTTGAGCGCTGGGTTGCGAAGCTGCCCGCGGCCTCTGCGGCGCCGGTTCGATCCCCGGCTGCTCCCCAGCCACCGGAGGAGAATCCCACATGGTGCGCAGACCTCTCCTGCCACCCGCTGCTCCCCTCAGCAGTGTACTTCAGTCCTTCTGCCTGCTCTGCTCCCCACTCTGGCTCTGGTGAATTCTCTCACCCTCCCGCGCTTCTGACTGTACCCAGTGCATGTATAAACAAAACAAACAAACAAATATAATAAATAAATAAAAACATGCCTCTAAAAAAAAAAAAAAAAAAAAAAAAAAAAAAAAGAATAGAATAGACAGGGATGTTCGGGCTAGTAGTTTCCCCCAATCTTTATTATTATTATTATTATTATTATTATATTTAAAGAGCCGTTTTATTAGAAAAGGGACACAAAGAGTAAAAAAGATACTTGCATAGACACAAGCGGTCAGGAAGAGCTGCCCTGAAAGGGACAGGTTTGCTGAGAGAGGCCTGCGGCCCTGAGGAGAGCTGCCTCCACTAAGGGAGGTCGATGAAGAGAAGTCCCAGCATGGTACAGGTCATGGGCAGGCAGGAAGCTGCTGCCCTGCGGAGGGACAGAGTTGGCAAAAGGAAACACCTGCATAGTCACAGGTGGGCAGAAAGACTGCTGCCTACTCTAGTCTTTATTTCTATGACTTCAGATTTAAGGGTCAAATAGAATTAAAGTTAAGAGTGAAGAAAACTTAAATATGAGCACATATCATTTTAACAAGCCATCAGAAAAAAATCTGGAAGGGCGGGGAGCACAGCAGACTATCAATGCTTTAGTGATGGGAAAGCAATGATGGTCCCATGCAGGGGGAGAAATCGATATCGTCAAAATATTAACAAAGAGTAAAATAATGGTACTCCATTAATTAAAAAAAAAAAAAAAGAATCTGGAAGAACACAGAATTCGTAGAGCTATATATGGGGGCACTGAAAGTGACCTTAGGATGGCAGCAGCAATTCGGGTTTCCCTCTCTCTTCCTCTCGTTTTGCCCAGATTCAGACAGTGAAACTCTGAAGGCAGCAAAGGTATGGAAACTGGCAGAGGTCCTGATGGGTGAGAAGCAGCAGTGCCAGGATGCAAAGAGCCAACAGAAGGAGCAGATGGTGCTGCTGGAGAAGAAGAGTGCCGCGTACTCCCAGGTCGTCAGGGCAGTGCACCTGCCTCCCCTTGGTCCACCCTGACCCCATGAGCACCTGTGGGGAAGCAAAGGATTTCTGATCTGCCTTCTTTTCCACTCTCTTTTGTTTACTCCCTCTTCTTCCTGTCTCTTGGGGGGCTCAGGTGCTTCTCCGCTGCCTCTCCTTGCTTCAACGGCTTCTTCAGGAGCACCGGCTGAAAACTCAGTCTGAACTAGACCGCATCAATGCCCAGTACCTGGAGATCAAGTGCTGTGCCATGATCCTTAAGCTGAGGTGAGCCTCAACCCCAGTGGATCCGACCCTTGCCTTTGTTACTCTTTCCCCTCCACCAAGCCTGTCTCGTGTGGGTAGTCCATAAATGTCACACAGCAGTACTAGCTTTTGGATTACCCCGAAGCTTCAATACTCTTGACTCTTTTATTTTAAAGACTTCTGAAATAGATGGTTTACTGTGAAATAAATTGTTTAGGAATTCAGAGTGACCTTTTTTATCGTGTCACTGCTTTGCCTGTATCTTCATCATGGGCGGGTACTGTGGCCACATTCCTAACTCTACTGCTCTCAGAGAGCCTCAGCTGAACGTGTCTTTCTTCCCTGTGTCAGGATGGAGGAGCTAAAGATTTTGTCTGACACTTACACTGCTGAGAAAGTGGAAGTTCATCGTCTCATTAGGTGAGAACTCCAGAGTCTAACCGGGTACAGTCATTCAGAGCTGGTTCCTACTCTCCCCAGACTCATTCATCTGAGGGGTTCCTGTTTCCTGTCTACTTTTGGAGCAGCCAATCCTTATATTATACTTTCTGTGCTGGGCTCTTAGGGACCGTTTGGAGGGGACCATTCACCTACAAGAACAGGACATGGAGAAGTCCAGACAGGTCCTGAACACCTATGAGGTCCTCGGGGAAGAGTTTGACAGGCTGGTAAAAGAGTACACCCACCTCAAGCAGGCAACTGAGAACAAACGCTGGGCCCTTCAGGAGGTCAACAAGGCTTATCGCTGAGTGTTGGGGGTGCTGGAGAATGGCTTCTGCACAGGGGCTGCCTTCTCTTCGTGCTAAAAACAACCCCACCTGAGGCCACCCTCACTCAAGGCAGTGTGGGGACACTTGTTTGAAACACTGCAGTCATTTATGCACCTTCCTGGTTTCTATTCCATTTTCACAGTGACTGAGTCTCTTCTGGAAAATGTAACAGATTGATGTAATTTTATGTATAGCTATTTGTCAGTGTCAGCCCTTTATTGTATTTGATTATCTCCTGAATAAAATGGTGATATTGTCTTTGGATTCTAGTCATTTTCCTTTGGGCAAAGATGGAAAAAGAACATGGAAGTCCTTGTGGGTAAGAAGGGGACCTGAGTGGATCCAAATAGAGACAGACCCATAACTACAAAAAAGGTAGGCAGTGGAAGTGCCAGCCTGTCCACGTGGAGTCTTGGAGGTTTCATTCTTGGAGAGTGGCGGTGGATTATATTCGGGCTTGCTCTTAAAGAACTACAATCAGAGGAGAGCTAGATGCTAAGGTGAGTAGGGAACTATTCTCTCATGATGGATGTCAGTGGGGCGATTATGATGAAGCAGCCAGGCATCCAGCTTTTACAGGAAAGGACACAAGCCTCTTGTGCTTCCTGTTCCCTCTGGTATGGTTTGAGAGTTACTTCTTTCTTTGAAAGCAAAAGGTGGGAAGAGATCACCCTGAGGAAATAAGTTTCACAGTACTCAGCCTAGAAGGAGGCAGGGCCCTGGCTGGTGTCAGGGACTGAGAACAGAAGCACAAGACCTTCACTCAAAACATTTTCCAGGGTTCCTAACTCATTCTTTTGCTAATGTCAAATGATGATGTTCTTGGATTGGGTTAATAGGAGAAATTAAATTTTTCTATAAACAGTGCTTATTGCTATTCATAAGCAAATGTTGGCTTACAGGGCCTCCCTGGTAGCACAAGGGGTTAAGCACTGCACTGTGAAGCAGTCCGCAGCCTCTGCAGCTTGAGTTCGATCCTAGCCGGCCAGGGAGCTACCCACATGGCACAGAAGACCAGCTGCTCCCCTTAGCAGTGTATTTCAGTGGATCTGCCTGTTCTGTTTCCCACTCTGGTGAATCTTCTTACCCCCACATATCTGGCCTGTACCCCAGCTCTTGTATGCATAAATAAATAAATCTTTAAAGAAAAATGTAGGCTTACACAAAATAGTTAATAGATTAATGGAAAAATTCAGAAATAGTCAATATTGTTTAGTTCTCTAGTTTTTTCCAACTTCTTTTGGGGAAAGCTTTCAAACCTACATAAAAGTTAAAAGAACACTGCCATAAGTACCAGTATACTGTTAGATTCAACAATTGCTGACATTTTGCTTTTCTGTATTTTCCTCTTCTTTAGTTAAACTTTTTTTTCTGAATTAATTTAGGACTCAAGTTATAGATATGACATTTCATTCCCTAAATAAGCAGTCAACTCCTAAAAATAAAGACACTCCCTTGTATAATGCAATTATTATACTTACAAGATTGATGAGGTCCTCCCTTGTATAATACAATTATTATACCTAAAAGATTAATGATTTCATATCTGTTCAAAATTTCAGGATTTTTCTTCCATGATGTAGATTCCAGTACCGGTTCATGTGTTATATCTGGATGTTAGTTTAACTCCCACTTTTTTTTTTCTTTAATGAGATTGACTTCCTGAAAAATCCAGACTGGTTACCTTGTAGAATGTCCCATTGTCTAATTGTTTCCTGTGGTGGTTAACTTGTTCCTCTTCTGTACAATGTAGTAGCTACTAGCCACAAGTAGCTATTTAAATTCAAATTTAAGTTAAAAAGAAATAAAATTAATAGTTGACAGTTACTGTATTAGTTCAGACACAGAACATTTACACAATTGCAGAAAGTTCCATTGGGTAGTTCAGTAAGCCTACATTTCCTGTAAACAGGTTTTATTAGATTCAGGTTAAACATTTTTGCGAGGAATACTTAAGAGATGACATTATGTACTTTATATTACCTCACCCTGGAGCCACATCAGGTCAGACTATGTCATTATTAATTATGCTGAATTTGATTGCTCTGTTGAGGTGGTAACTGCCAGATTTCTTCTAGTATATGAAGGTACATTTACCCTTTGTAAGTAGTAGCATCTGGAAATGAACATCAAAAATCTCAAAATAGTTCTTCCTGACATTTATTATGTCATTCAGCATCTCCTCATTTAATTAGGCGCTCATCCTCAACCATACTAGGTTTTAGTATTTGAAATAATAAAGATAATAAAGAAATGGACCCAATCCTCAATGTTTGTAGCCTATAAACAAAGGACACACAAGATAGTACAAGAATATAAAGTAACAGGAGATGCAAATAAATGTGGCTATAAACCAAGAGAAGTAAATTGATGTAGAAAGTAGGGGAGGCAGATTTGGTTCAGGCTTTGTAGAGGTGAGTTTAAGATAGAATTTTGGAAAAAGGGGCAAAGATAAAGAAGGAGCCGTGTGTGAAGGCACAGGTAGGAAAGAGCAAATGATGCACCAAGTAAAACCTTCCTCTTAAATGACTAAAAATTGAGAAAAAAGCTTACGGCTTCAATCAAGACTCTGGAGAGCTGGGGCTTGAAAAATGTTTAAATTTCTAACTGCCTGAGAAAGCAAAATGGCTTCTGAGACAGTGGTTCCCAGCCCTGGTCCCTAAATAGCCTGGGGAGGGACAACTAGCTGTTTCTTAAGTTTCCAAAAGCTTAAAGAAAATTAAACATTTGCCTGCAACAGTGCTGCTCAAAAATGTAGGGATTTTAAAACAATCTATTGGCTTTAAAAAAATGCCTTGTTAAAAAAAATCAAAATGAAGGTATAAAATGGGGGCTTCCCTGGTGGCACAAGAGGGTAAGTCTCAGCACTATGAAGCTCTCTGTAGCCACTGCAGCATGAGTTCAATCCCCAACCAGGGAGCTAACCCACATGGCACAGCAGACCTCTCCTGTCTTACCTGCTGCTCCCCTCAGCAGTGGATTTCAGTAGATCTGCCTGTTTTGCTCCCCACTTTGTCTCTGGTGAATCCTCTTAGCCCCCACACCTCTGGCCTGCACCCTAGCTCTTGTATGCATAAATAAATAAATCTTTTTAAAAAATGAAAGTATAGGGGCCTCCCTGGTGGCGCAAGGAGTTAAGACGCAACCTATGAAGCTGTCTGCAGACTCTGCAGCACAAGTTCGATCCCTGGCCGGCCAGGGAGCTACCCACATGGCACAGCAGACCTCTCCTGATTTCACCCACTGCTCCCGTCAGCAGTGTACTTTGGTCAATCTTCCTGTTCTGTTCCCCACTCTGTCTCTGGTGAATCCTCTCATCCCCCACCCCCCCGCACCTCTGGCCTATACCCCAGCTCTTGTATGCATAAATAAATAAATCTTTTAAAAAATGAAAGTATATAATGGTAAAAAGTAAGATTGACCCCTCCCTCTAACCTTCCCTGTAACCCTCCAGCCCCACACACTCTCCAAGAGACATCGTGCCTATTTTTTTTAAAGATTCATTTTTTTTATTTATGCACTCAAGAACTGGGGTACAGGCCAGAGGTGCTGGGGGTGAGAGGACTCACCAGAGACACAGTGGGGAGCAGAACAGGTGGATCTACTGAAATCCGCTGCTGAGGGGAGTGAGACAGGAGAGGTCTGCAGTGGCTGGCTATAGCTTATAGCACTGAGAATTAACCCCTGCACCACCAGGGAGGCCTCTGACATCATGCTTATTGTTTTGATTATCCCTATGACCCTGGGAAGGGGAGGACCCACGCATCAGATAAATATCTTGCCACTAGAAAATGCTATTCTCCCATGGACATTGGCATTGCTGTATAAATATCAATCTCTAGGAAGTGTTGTAGGGAATTGGAGAAATAGGACGCTGTGATAGAAAACTCTGGTCACAAAGCTGGGGCCTTGTCTTAACCAGAAGACCTCACCAATGTCCTGCCACTCTGAGACCAGCCAGTGTGGTCAATGGGCATCTTTCTCCTACTACTGCACCGCCCTATTCAGATCCTCATTTTGGACCCCTGCAAATTGTTCCAGCTATCCCTCCGTTCATCTTATACTCTGATGCCAGGTCAATATTTATGAATCTAATTTGGTTCACATAAGTAATTTACAATTCTCACTTCATTTTGTCATTTCTCACTTCAAAACGTTTCAGGTTTCCCTACTGCATACCAAATACCATCCACTTGCCACAGGTGTGGATTGAAGCCAGACTTTTCCCACTATTAACACCCTCCATTTACCATACCTTTCACCTCCTACCCCCTTGGGCTTATTCACCCTTTCATGCTCTCCAGTGCTTGTTAGGGTTCTATCCTCCTGACAAGACCTCTTCTGCTCATAAAATTCTATCATCTTTGAAGTCCACTTCAAATATGGTTTCCCCATTATCACTCCAGCTAGAAAATGTCTCACTATCATTTAAATCCCACAGTACTTAGTCACAACTTCTTAAAGGTACTTGTCATGCATAGCCTTGAACTGCCACTACAGTGCTGGTGTCTACACACCAGAAGCTCTTGGAGGGTTACAGTTTGTAATCAGGTGTTTCAGTCTTTTTGGTCTCAAGACTCCTTTACTGCATAATTTTTAATTTTATTTAATTTTTTTTTTAAAGATGTATATATATATGCATATAAGAACTGGGTTGTAAACCAGAGGTGCAGGGGGGGTGAGAGAGGATTTACCAGAAAGTGGGGAGCAGAACAGGTAGATGTACTGAAACACACTGCTGAGGGGAGCAGGGGGCGAGGCAGGAGAGGTCTGCTGTGCTATGTGGGTTGTTCCCTGGATGGAACTCATGCTGCAGTGGCTTGATAGCTCTGTGTTTAACCCCTGCACCACCTGGGAAGCCCCTACCCCATGACTTTTAAGGACACCAAAGAGCTTTTGTTTATGTAAGTTTTATCTATAGATTTTTCTACTATTAAAAGTTAAAACTGAGAGAATATCAACAGTCTTTCTGAAGGAGATCAGAAAAAGAAAATTATTTCTTTTCTCGAATATTTCTTGAATGTAACTCTTTGCCAAGATCTGGGAACATGTGGTACCTAAGCTTCATTCAGTCTCAACTGCTTTGATCTTTAAATATGATCTTGATTGGAGCTCAGTTTTACTTAAGCAATTATTAGTGGCAAACACAGAACCAAAAGAACTTTATGTATTACGCCAGAAGGAAGGAGGTAACAATTAATGAGAAGGGTTTAAGTAGTTTTTTTTTTAATATTCATTCAAACTTTATTGCCCTC